AATCCTGTTTAGAAATTTTTCAACTCTTTAGCACAGGCATCTAAATCATCCTTCCCCAACCTGGAACCTTCCAGATGTTTTGGAAATCACAGCTGGGGTCCAACATACTGGAAGGACAGCATGTTGAGAACAGCTGCTCTTCACATATCAAAGGTAGATATTGTTAGTTCACCCCAGGAACAATTCGGAGAAAATTTGCACATGCCTAACACTTCTGATCTTACCAAGTAGATCGTCTCATGTATTGCTTCCATGAATCACTTCCAGATTCCCTTCCACCACCAGTATGCTTATTACCACCTAGAAGAAGTATAAAACAGATGTTAAAGGGTCTAAAAGCCAAAAGATATTGTTATGTATTTCTCAAAGCAGCTTTAAATCAGACCAGCAATTGAAAACTGCACATTATACCGAATTCCTCCCCTCTGAATCTCAAAATTCTCCTTTCCTGAAAACATGCAAGTGTTTTATAGCTTTCATGATAGTTTTTAAAAACTCAATTTTCTCCATATATATATTTTTAACTCAAGACTGGAAAAATGAAACAGAAGGAAATAAAGGCTGTGAGCAGATCACTTGCTTATATTCTTACGGCTATACTGAGCCAAATCACAGGTGATACTAATCCGTATTTAGAATTATTAGGGAAGGCCACCCCTCCTCTGTACAGCTTTAAAGAACCCTGCAAGCTTCTGCATCTGTTTTAGTCTAATCACAGCTCACTGTGCAATCCAAAGCCTTGATCTCAACTACACTTTGTTCAAACAAGCCAGTTTCATAAGCCCCTGGTGTGTCAGGCTCAAATGATACAATGACCTGCAGTCAGTTAAAAATGGGAAAAAGAGCTTTTGCAACCCCTTTCATGGCCATACCAGGGGGGAAAAAAAGATTAAATGATCATTCTAACATTGAAATATGGTTCCACTCTGAAACAGCCCACTGTATAAGTGTAGAGCCTGGATAGCTACTGTCAGACACACTTTACAACACTGTGCGAAATACACTAAGGGTCTAGAGCAGAGGCCTGCAATCCCAGCAGGGCTGTTTTTTTCAGTAGCCCAAGGACATCGCGTTAAAGGGTAGCGGCTATGGCCAAAAGGGTAATTTTCATATTTAATGTCTTATATTTTTTTAATGCTTCATGCGGTGATTATGCACAATAAAGTGTTGCCACAATGATGCTGAAAAATAAGTTTAACTAAAAGAAAAACAAACTGAAGAAATCCTCTTGCAACTTCTAGAGACCAAAAACAAACAAATAATTCCCCCCCCCCACAATTGTAAAAATTCAGGGGAATGTGGGGACACCAAGGATCCTGCAGCCCCACGAAAGGCAATATTGCCCCCATGTGCCCTAGGTGGCACATTCTGAGGAATAAAAATCCCGCCAAAAATTAAACAAGTTCTGAAGGTGCAGAAACTCCCAGGGTCTTGGAGGCCATGAAAACAGCCCTGTATGGTGGCATTCAACCTCCGAGTCACATATGGTCTATTGCTCTTGTAAAATCAAGTTATTGGGGTGTAGTTGCAAATGGCATAAAGCCAGTTTCCTTAGTAACAGTATGATATGAACGCAAGAATAGCTGCTCCAAACTCTAAACTAATGGGTAGTTCAGTACATTTCTTTTAAATAAATGCCTAAGCACATGTCTCTGTAACTGTAAAGTTCTACTTCTGAATCGAGGTGGGCAACCTCTAGAGGCCCAGGAACCTCGCATGCCCACTCCCCCAAACTGCTCGCTGTTGCCGTCAGCCTACCCACCCACCCATCACAAATTCCTAAAGAAGGGGTTCTTGCTGAAAAATCCCACTTGGCACCCTCTACTGGCCAAAACAATATTGCTCCACCCAAAAATTAAAACTTGTTTGGGAGTATGGGGTGCCCAGTATTGTTCGGGAGGGTTCTAACACAATGAAATAGTCACCCCACGCTCTAGATGGCACAAGAAATCTCTCTGAGCCCAAAGTTTTTCCGCCCAAAAAAGATTTGAGACTGGTTTCATGACATACAAAACTGGTCATTCTTGAATGATGAAGTGGCAGTTTTATTGATACTTTGTCATCCTAGGCATATTTATAGCAGTGACGATGGCAATCAGTGTAGGAACTCAACATACCAAAGGCACCTCCAATTTCAGCACCATTCGTTGGAATATTCACATTCACAATGCCACAGTCTGATCCCTTCGGTCTAGAAAGAAAAAAAAGCATACATTTAAAAGTAACGTTTTTAATTACCAAATCATACACCAATGTGGATTAGTGAAAGGTAAAAACTCCAACAACTAACCTCAAACATAAACAGTCATCTAGTATAAGTAGATCTGTATTGTCTCTATCGATCGATTAATCAATCGAATTAATTAAACTATGTATATTCTGCCTTTCTCCTGAAAAGGAACCAAGGTGGCTTATCTCTTTATAATAGAAATAAGGATCATACCCAAGCCATCTGAATATTCTACCCAAATCCTTGGTAAAGATGCTGCTGGAGAGACCTTGTTTTACTTCGTTATTCCAGGCAAAGACTTCTTCTTCTGTCTGGAAATGAAAGCACAAACTTAGAAGCTTAAAAATGAATTACACACTGGCTAAAGCTTGTTTAGATATCTAGCTATGGAGCCAGAGTTTGGGAGTTCAATTCCTCAGTGTCCCTGCAGCCTGTGTGGCCTTGGGAAAGCTGCACAGTCCCAGGGCTCCCCCAGAAGAAGGGAATGGCTGGGCCTGCAGACCAGTTTGTGAGCATTTAAAATACCCACATTCAGAGTAAGGGTGAGAACCACACTACCAGATCCTAGAAAGATCTATGCATGAACATCCTTGTTCAGCAACCACAATGTTCTACCTACATGCCTTCAGAGATGCATCTGTAAAGTTGCTAGGGAACAGGTTTTCTCAGAAAGCCTGTGGCAAAGGAGAAAATTAAGGATGTGCCAGGATTCCATGAACTACCAGACACTGGAATTGCTTTATATATAAAGTTCTCCTTATCCAAAGTACCATGTCATGCCTTTAAACTTTAGTCCATATTGTGGTGACATCTTTATGAGAGAAACAAAATCTGCACAAGCTTTAGAGGCTCTCCAAATCTCTTTGTCACGCTTGATATCACAAAAGAACAGCCAACAGGAAGAGTGTCATGTCAAGGAAAGATCTGCAGATTCTCATTTAAGTTCACGGGGTTATTACATTTCAGCCTGAATGGCCTGTGGGTTTGCTAAGAACTGCAAAAGCAATAGAAGACAGCAAATGGTGACTGTCAATTCTGAAACCATCCCTTTGGAAAGTGAGGCCTGCCTCTAAAGCTTGGCTAAATAGAATGCCAAGAGTCAGCACTGACTGGTTTGTTCTCAGTTGTGGGGGAGGGGGAGTTGCAAACTGAAGCCACTGACAAAATTACAATGGTGCCTCGACTTATGAATGTTCCTACATACGACCATTTCGAGTTACAACCAGCTGCGGTCACAAAATTTTGCTTCTATTTGAGACCGGAGCTTACGAACAGAAAAAAGCAGGGGAAAAAGGTGGGAAATTCAAATTTCTAACTGTAGGTGCGACGAGGCTGCTTCTTTGTAGCTCTTTCGCCCTGACAGTTAGAGTGAGTGCGATTGAAGAAGGCTTGGGACTGCCTGGCTTCTGAAACAGGGGAAAAAGGTGGGAAATTCAAATTTCTAACTGTAGGTGCGACGAGGCTGCTTCTTTGTAGCTCTTTCGCCCTGACAGTTAGAGTGAGTGCGATTGAAGAAGGCTTGGGACTGCCTGGCTTCTGCAGTGTGATCGAAGGCGGCTTGCGACTGCCTGGCTTCTGCTTCGGAGTGAGAGTGTGTGTTTTTGCAGCATGGTTTTGAGCTGGGGGGTTATGTTTCTGTGCTGTGATGGGTCTTGCGGGGTTTGTGGGTTTTTTGTTTTTTCTCCCATTTCCGATGGGGGGGTTTGTGGGTTTTTTTGTTTTTTCTCCCATTTCCGATGGGTCTTGGGGAGTTTATTTGCTTTTTAGTTTTTTTCCCACCATTTCCGATCTTGCACGATCTGCTTGATTGCTTTTTGCTTTCTCTTGATTGCATTTGCAATGGGTCTTGCATGGTTGATTGGTTTTTGATTTGTTTTCTTTGCATTAGGTCCTCCATGCTTGATTGCTTTTTGCTCTCTCGTTTGCTTTCACAATAGGTCTTGCACAGTTGATTGGTTTTTGGTTTGTTTTCTTTGCATTAGGTCTTCCACACTTGACTGCTTTTTGCTCTCGTTTGCTTTTACAATGGGTCTTCACGGTTGATTACTCCCCCCCCCTTCAGCCAGAAGGGATTAATCACGTTTCCAATGAGTCTTGCAGTGATTTTTTGGGGGTGATTTTTTTCTTCAGCCAGAATGGATTAATTGCATTGCAATGCATTCCTATGGGAAATGGTGCTTCAACTTACGGCCGTTTCGAGTTACAACCATCTTCTGGAACAGATTATGGTCGTAAGTCGAGGCACCACTGTATTTGTCTCTTCAGAGTTGTGTTTGAGAAGCATATCAACATTTTTAATCTTTAAAACCCCTACAAAAACTGTGTTCTGTGCATCAGAAGTCTGGGAAACCCTTGTCTAACTTCATAAAACAGTATATTCACCCTCAGCTACTGTGATATGAAGGCTACGAGGCCACTAAAAAGACAAATTCCCAGAATGTTCCAAACATCCAAAATTCAAACACTTAAGTTTTGTTGAAAGGGGGAATCTACTCATGAAATGGCATTGGTTTTCCACCTGCAATTTAGCACCATCATGAGTGATCAATTCATTATTTGAATAATTTCCCCTTTCCTTTTATTATACGTTACCGTTTAAAAATACAAAAAGAAATCTTTAGTACTTGAATAAAAATGGATCCTCTATTTTCTAACCATATCTAAGAACTGACAGACCTACCTTAAATTTTAGCACGTACAGAATAGGAACAAATGTCTCTGTCTGCACAATGGATGCCGTATGTGAAAGGCCAGTCACAATAGTTGGCTCAACATAGTTTCCAGGACGATCTATAACCTTGAATGAGAGACAAAAAACACCATCCATTAGTCTTAGGTGCGTCAAAACCCTCAGGTGGCATTCGGGTTTAAACTGGAGTGTAAAGGTGTATCTGCATTACACAGTGGCCTCAGTGTGAAAGCACTTGCAACTGTTATGGTTCCCTTCAAATGAAACCGACAATTTATAGTTTAGTGAGATACTTAGAATTTTTTTAATGGGGAGGTCTAGGATATCCCCCTGAATTAAAAGAGAAAACACAAAGACTTTCAACAAACTGCAAATCCCATGCAGTATCAAACTGATAGGAGTAGGTGGTGTGAGTGTACCTTAGGTGTTTGAAGGTGATTTAGTCTACCTTTGTAGTAAATCTTGTGTAATACATCCCACTTCTATCCCAACAGAATTTTAAGGGTTCAGATCATTTTCTGTCTTCTTGACAGACTCGTTATGAGAACGTATCCTATGGCTGCCTGTAAAAAATGTCATTCCCTGAGATAAAAATAACCCTTACATAAATGATATATTTGTGCTTTAACGCTGCCTCTGCCTGCTGCACTATCACTACAGATAGTATAAAGCAGCTATAATCCTGCAAAACCTATCAATCCAAACCCTCAGACATGACTGCTCTATCTCTAGGATCTCATCATATTTGTATCCTCATGATTCCACTAAGATCTCTTACCTTTAGTAGAAACCTTAAGCCTTGTGGGAAAAAAAAACAGCTTCCTTTACTTTATCAAACTCTACTGTGTTTCCCCGAAAATAAGACAGGGTCTTGTATTAATTTTGGCTCCAAAGACGCATTAGGGCTTATTTTCAGGGGATGTTTTATTTTTTTCATGTACAACAATCTACATTTATTCAAATACAGTCATGTCACCTTCTTCTGGTTGCTGCACAGTGGTGGAGGGCGGGGTTTCACTTAACTGGGGCTTTTTTTGGGTTATGGCTTATACTACGAGCATCCTGAAAAATCATACTAGGGCTTATTTTCAGGTTAGGTCTTATTTTCAGGGAAACAGGGTAAACTACTTACAGAAATTTTGTTTTAAAACAAAAATGCCCTGCCTAAAGGGTTCAGCAGAGCTACCAATCTGTGACAAGACAAAGAAGTAATGTTAATATATTACTTATCATAGTACACTTAGGGCTGGAGCTTGGGGCAGGCATTCAAGTCCTACAACTGCCTACCCAAAGAATAAGAGGTGACGGGGAGACATCAAACGGAGTGTGTCTGAGCACAAGGACTGCAAAAGCCACGCCAAGATCTAGCAGGATTGAAGCAGCACTCACTCTTTTATTTTTAAAACCATGTTATTGTTAGGGATGACTGGCCAGGCATCCATGTCATTCCAAATGCTGATCTTACTATTTTGTATTTTAAAATATATGATCCTTTTCCAGAAGCGAAACTGTGCTTACTCCCAAATAAATGTACATCACACAAGGGCAAAAAAAAGTAAGCTTCATTTTATTCCTGCGTTAATCCCTGTAACAACCAATCTCATAAAGCTCAGTGTGTTGGGGGGCCTGGCTGCAGACCAAGAGGTAAAGAAATAAAACTGTTTTGAGCAAAGTGCTCTTCTTTTAATTGAAGACCATAGCTTTCTTTTTGACAGATAAACAAATGCACATATAAAAACAGTCACCTTTCCACCATAGACCACAGAGCCCCCCTGCTGCTTGGCCAATCCCACGGCATCCACAAACATCTGTACTGCTTGCTTAGTGTGGACAGGACCATACAGGGTGTGATCTGCAAAGAAAAAGGACCACAAAAAATTATGGGGATCATAAAAGCAAAATCATTACTGACTTCATAATTAGTTCATTATTCTTTTACTTCTATAGCCAAAGATGGGAGAGATGCCTGTAAGATCCTCTCTCTCATGTGCCATAATAACTTTCTTGGCTTTGAATACTATGCAGGAGGAGAAAAAAGAGTCTCTCCAGGTAGACCTCCTTGGTGCCCCCTCCCTCCAGATTCCAACTGCCATGTTTTGGGCTATAGAAGGAAAAAAGAGGCCAAACTTCGTTCCTCCCTCATGCTCCTCTCCTCAATAATGAAACTCTGAACTCATCAACCGCACCCCTTCCTACCTATGCTGAAAAGCTACTGTGCGAGCCTTTTTGACTGAAGAACGAGGTGCAAATACACTTCTCTCTTGAATTGCACAGGTTTATGCAACACGGTTTCAGCTACACAAGGCTTTTTTTTAAACAAAAAATACATAAACGTTTTAATAAATATATAAATATTCAATAAATACTGCACTGCTCATCATCTCCAAGAAGTAACCTGAGAAAAATGGGTCTTGGACACACTGAGGCCCCTGTTGCTGGCAGTGAGGCAGCCCCCGGCCTGATGGCAGTGGCCTAGCCAGCTGCTTTCCTGGCATAGCAGCTGCCTCTGGTGGCCGAGTTGGAGGAGGACATAGTGGTACATAAACACAGTAAACTCACCTGCCCAATATTTCTGTGTGTACGTGAGTGTGTAAATCAATTGTTTATGCTTTGCAGTTACGTTTGGGGGGGGGGGCATTAAGAGTTATATAGGGATTTTGAACTGCAAGGGGGTCCAGCACCCTTAACCCCAGCATTGTTGAAGGGAGATGTGTGAAAGGAAGACAGAAAGACAGATAAGATGTCTCAGCTTTGGGGATGGGAGAAACCACCTGCTGTTCTGCCTTAAGCAACAAAATGTCCCTTTGGGTCCTTCTTAAGGAGAAAGGTGGGGAGGGAGGGATTGATGGATGCCTTGAACCAGCCCTGCCCTGACTGGCAGCAGTCCTCCAAGCTCTCAGGCAGACATCCCCTCCCGTCTTGCAACCCAGAGCCGGGACTATCTATATTCAAGGCATGGGCTCCAGAACTGAGCTGTGGTCCTCTCCTCATTCTTCCAAACTACATAAAATAACATACAACATTTTTTCCTCCAACATACTGTTGTCTCAGTCACAATTTTTGTTAAAGAGACACCTTTTTAGACATTGGGTGTATCTTATGACCAACTGCACTTGTAAAAGCCATTCCATGTCCCAACTGATTTCCAGAAGCTTTTGAAAAGAATAGAAAAATGTTCCTCCAAGCTGCTTCACAATTCTTGATAATTGGTCGTATTGTGCAATTTAAAACCACATGCATCTATGCTACAGAATGGGAAAGTGACATTTTTGTGTTTTACCGCTCCCATAACCCACCCAGCCCCAAACACAGTCACTTCTCTTACCGTCCGATGGATCTCCAATGCGGACTTGTGCATATGACTTGGCAAGTTTTTCCACCACTTCATCATGGACGCTTTCATGCAAAAACTAGGAAGAATGTCATGAGCAATTTTTTTCAGGCTGACAATCATAACTCTTTAAAGTGAAACTTAAAGACCCAAAGGAGAACACCAGCATCTTCCAAATTTATGATGGTAAAACTGGAGACAGAAGACCACTTATAATAGTCATATTTGTTATAAAAGCTTAGAAGACAGTAGTTGTCTTCCTAAGTGGAATATGCATGTAGCACATTAAAAACACAATTATATCATTATGATGTGAAGTATTTCCATCCAGTAAGGTTCTTGCATGTCATATTTATTTTGCAGTTAGGTTGCACGCTGAAAATCTCCAATAGTCAAAATCATTTTGCTAAAGGAATTCATTGTAATTTCTTCATACAACATTTCTCTCCCAAACTTCAGCCCAACGAGACTGAATCAAGCCCATGTTCTAGAGAGACACAACTTTCTCATGCTCTCTTACTCACTACAAAATAAAACACATATTCTTTAAGTCAGCCATTCTCAACCTTGACACAACTTTCTCCTGCTCTCTTGTTACTCACTACAAAATAAAACACATATTCTTTAAGTCAGCCACATTCTCAACCTTTTTTTTTGCCATGGCCATAAACACAACATGAAAGAAATATTGTATAGGCTAGATCAAGATTTTATATGTCACATAATGAATCTTATAAGGTGGTATGTAGGCCAGATCAAGACTTTATAAGTCACATAATGAATCTTATAAGGTGGTATGTGTAGAATGTGATTTGTGGCTCCCTTCAAATGTGTCAGGGGGCTCCTGGGGGCCATACACCCCCTCACCATTGATAATGGCTGCTCTAAATAACCAAGACGAAAGTGCAAACGACATACAGCATCTCCCACAACAGGTATTACATTCTGTCTGTATATGGAGAGGGGAACAGGATGGGTGTAGAAACCAAATACCTGCCCCATTACCATAGTAAGTAAGTACTGGATGCCAGAGTGGATGGATAGAGGATCTGATATTTATAAAGGAATCGGAAAACCTTCACACTGACTTACCAGCCTCCTTGTACTTGTGCACCTCTGGCCTGCTGTTCCCACAGCCGCAAAGAGGGCAGATGGGATGACCAGGTTAAGGTCTGCATCTTCAAACACTGTAAGGAATTCAGCAGAAACATGTAAGCAGCGAAAGAGAGGCAACTTGGAGACAAAAGAGATACCAAGCAAAACACGTATAGAATCAATCAAAAATTATTCAGGAAGGACAAAATTGACAGTAGTTTTAACTCTAAACAGGTCAGATGGCATTTATAGTCAAGACATCAGTCAGCCCCTGCAGAGATGACAAGACAAGCATACAGTACACTGTGGTTTGAACTGGTGGTGGGGGATGATCTAGAGCAAAAAAAACACAAAAAACTATAAGCAGAAGGAACATGTATCGCTTAAAATTAGCTCCAAGTTACACCAGCACAATATTATTGCAAAGCATGCTGCTTATTTACCGCCCCATAGGGCTTCAAGCACTCTCTGGGTGGTTTACAAGTTAATTATGCCGACTACACATTGCCCCCCCCAAGTGAGCTGGGTACTCATTTTACCGACCTCGGAAGGATAGAAGGCTGAGTCGACCTTGAGCCGGCTACCTGGGATTGAACCCCGGGTTGTGAGCACAGTTTTGGCTGCAGTATAGCAGTTTTAACCACTGCGCCACGAGGATATTGTGCCAAATGATTTCAGAAGGAGCTACTGGTGCCAGCAGAACATTAAGCTTATTGGGGTAATATATTTTACACTACAAAGCCAACAACTGCAGCATCTCTGCTGCCACTAGTTGGTTCCTGTTCGAGATAGGAGCTTTGCGTTCATATACGAATATGAAGCCCACTGGTGCAGGTGGCTGGCTTGATGAACACCCATCCCCAGACCCCACAGACCACTTACCGCACAGCGCGTGTGGCCAGCATCATCTTCTGTGCCCCAATCACAGTAGTAGCTCAGCTGTCACAGCTGCACCTCCATGCTTGCCCAGCCACTCCAGCAGGGGTCAGGAGAACGAGTCTCCCTGCTCAACTACAGATTGGCTGGACAAGCAGGGAGGCGGGACTGCAGCAGCAAAGCTAATGCCATGATTGAGGCACAGAAGATGATGCCAGCTGCACACAATGGGGTAAGTGGTCCAGCAGACTTTGGGAGTGGGTGTTTATGAACCTGGCCACTTGTGCTAGTGGCTTCGTATTCATATATGAATATGCAGCCCCCATCTCTAGTTCCCATCATTTCCTGGGAACTGCTGCAAATATTGGATAACCACTGGAAGTAAACTCTAGTTTCTGTTCTTCAAAATGGAGGTGTGGATTATATAAATAACAGAGGCTAAATGATAAGTTTCCCAAAGACTGAGAAAGGCAACCAAAGATTAGCAAATATTAGCATCAGATTTAGCTTTAAATAAAAGGACTCATTACCAATGATAGCATTGTTTCCTCCAAGCTCAAGAAGACAGCGTCCTATTAAAATAAAGAAGCAATTAGGTTATGTGAATACAAACTGTAACTTCTGTTGACTAGCTTCCATCGTTACAATCTAATCAGGGGAATAACAAGGGGATCACAGCAAATGAAAGCTGTTTATCGTCCAGATTCAAAAATAATATAGGCCATTATCTCTCTATGTGCATTCAATAGCTTACTTATGTGCGGTGGTACTTTTAGGTCTAAGCAATAATCACAAGACATTACATTTCACAAACAACTTGCTATAATTTCAGGGGGAATGGAGGAAAAAGCTCTGTTCTGCATCTTTTTATCAGAACTTTTTATCAGAAATCAATGATGTGGGATGCATTGCAGCAGAACTCCTTAGCAGGGTGTGTTAGCCTTCAGAAGAACTGGGTTAAACTTGGTGTGGGAAACAGATGCAGCTTGGACTCCTTCCACATAGTCTCAGGGTCTGTCCAGGCTAGCTGTTTTGGTGCAGATTGGGCTGCAAAAGATTGGTTAAGATTGGAGGGAGGAACAATGTGCCATTTGGCACACTTCTCTTGTCCAAAATCCATATAAAACTTTGTGTCAATTAAATGCTTCCCCTGATGATCTGCAGGAGATCAAGAGAAATGAAATTACTGTAGGTTTTTTTAATGTCTGCTAGATCGTCACTGACGCAAATCACTTTGATTTTTTTTAGCTTTCTTTGCCTGTCTATGTATTGCCAATCAAGAAACTGTCCACAACCATGGTTGTGATTGGCAATACATAGACAGATTTTTTTAAAAAATAAAAGTGATTCATCACATCAGCAATAATCTAGCAGACACAATAAAAAATAACTTCACTTCCCCTGATCCTGTGCATACATTTGGGGAAGTATTCAATTTCCAGTATCCTGAAGTGGCTCCCAAGCTGCTTCAGGATAGTGGAAATTGACACTGGAAGAAGGTGCAAGGCTCTAAATTAGTTCAGTCCACTTCAAGTGACCACACCCGCTGGGAACAGACTAAACTGGAGCCTTCCAAACCACATCAAAATAGTAGAACTCCCTGGCAGGGGTTCAAAAAGGTTCAGGTTATTCTGCTTCTGTGATGCCCAGGGGTGATGCCAGAAAAAAAGAGCAGACCAACCAGATTCATCACCACACCAAACAGCAGGACAACTGCCTGTGTGGACAGCCTCTCAGACCTCTTATGCTAGACTGTTATGACAAGTAAGTTTTTTTTAAACATAACATGGGTACTGTAATAAACTGTCTTTTAAAACATTACCATTGGGTTTGAGCTACATGAGGAACATGCACACCTGCGTACGTCCACTTTCATTCTCCCTCTATCTCTCCTACACACTCACAAACATGAAATACAGAGTTCTATAAATTTGCCTTCTTTCTCTCAGCAAATGCACCTCCCCACATCTAGCCAGTTCCTAGACTTTCACCAGAAATCCCAACTGTGAGATGCTACCATTCCTTTTGACCTCAGCTCTTTCCATAAAAGGAAACATTTTGTATAATAATTTAAAAAAACATAAAAGGAAACATTTGTTTCCAGAAATATTTTCACATTTTGCAGATACAGGGATACACATACAGGAAAAGTCACAAACAAACTGTGGTGTGTAACATATTCAGCATGGGACTCTACATAGAGAGTGCTAGTGGTAACACAAAAAATGGGTTTGAATGGTAAGTCAAATTGGCATTTGCTGACATGTGCACATATGCAAACTATTGCCCACTTTGACTCTCTTCTGAGTTATTTTTAAAAGACAGAGACAGGGAGGGGCAAGAGAGTCTGGGCCACAGTACTTTCCTTACCGAATCTCTCCTGAACCATCAGCGCCACCTGCTTGCCCACATTTGTGCTGCCCGTGAAGGAGAGGAGATCAATTCTTTCATCTCTTGCCATAGCTGTGCTACACAAGAAAAGACAGAAATACCCGCACTCAATCAAAGAACAGAATGGGGAGAAAAGGGTCCATTCTTCATCATTAGAAATCCATCAGCTTAATAATGTATGAATATCTAACACTCCACTCACATTACAGTCTTTGGATCATGATTTCCCATTTTGTTACTTGTTAGAGTAATTTTTTTTTTAAAAAAACTCCTTTTATTTTGACAGCACTACCAGAATGTCAACTTTTTTATTGTTTTGCTCTACAAAGATGCAAATGCATATTATATGTACTTAAAGTGCCTACAAAAATTATGATTACGCCAAAGTTGCTGGAACTCCATTTAGGTGTGCAAAACTGAATCCACTTCTAAATATTCAGAATGGATGTAATAACACATTGGTGACAAAAATGGGCTAGAACCTCCCTCTATTTCATCCTTGTCTTACTGTGTCAGTGGATTCAGACGGCAACTCTATAGCTGGGAGTAGGATTCACTGGGACCTACTTCCCTGTATCGAGGAATGTAATGTGAATCTGTGCCCACCAACAGAATGCATTTCCTTCTAACAAAGGAGCTTACGGCTTTTAAATGAAGTGATATAACAATTCTTCTAGTTTTGACAAGTGACACTCAACAGTCTGTGGAACACTGGCAAGAGCAGATTAAAAGCATTACTAAGGGATTAACAGAGAAAAACATGATTTATCATACTTCTGAATTCAACATAACACTTGAGGATCTTATACATACCCAATATCTGCTCCACCACACGTGAGAGAGCAGATTGCACCAGGCAGTTTGTTAGCCTCCAAAACTTGAGCAATTATTCTAGAAATACAAACAAAACACAAGTTTCACTTTAAAAAGTGATTTCTACCCTTAGGTGGGGGTGAAATATACATATATACACATTTGGTGAGATTTTTCCTTCTGTGGATTCACCTTGTAAGTGCAGCTAACTTTTTTCACACAGACCACTTTCACAGATCATCAAAATACAACTTGTTCAGGTTTTATGGCAGATTCACAGAATCATGGAGTTGGAAGGGCCTATAAGGCTAAGGAGTCCAACCCCTTGCACAATGCAGGAATCCAAGTTAAAATATATCTGAAAGATGGCTATCTACCTTTCTCTTGAATGTTGCCAGTACTGGAGCCATCACCACCTCCTGAGGTAATTGATTCCATTACCATACGGCTCTAACAGTTAGGAAGATTTTCTTGAGGTTCAACTTCCTGTAACTTAAGCCCATTATTAGGTGTCCTGCACTCTGGGACGACTGAGAACAGATCCTGATCAGATACAGTGGTGCCTCGCAAGACAAATGTAATTCGTTCCGCAAGTAGCGCTGTCTTGCGAAAAAGTCGTTTTGTGAAAATCAGCTTCCCATAGGAATGCATTGCAATGCATTCCTATGGGAACCTCGCAAGATGATTTTTTTTTCTTGCAAGGCATCAGTCCCGGGGGCGGAGAACCATCTTGCGAAGCATGGCCATAGAAGAAGCCGTCTTGCGAAGCACTATAGTGATCGAAAAAACATTCGTCTTGCGAGGCACCACTGTAGTATGTTTCCCTATTGGTCTTTCAGCATTTCTAATCTAATCTTAAATTCCCCTGTGGTTTCTTGGATCCTCTGGAAGTGGATTTCTTTGTTTTTCCTTTTGTTGTTCTCCTCAGTTTCTTTGCACTGGTTATTGCAATAGTTCTTTGTCTCTACATGACAATGCAGAAAAAAACTGCATTCAATCTTCCTTCTGTCATCTGTCTAGGTTTTGATTTTCTTTTTACTACAGGAATTCTTTTTTTCATGCATCCCCAATAAGATATCTCGTTTCAATCCACAGTTCTTCTAGTTCATGGTCAACTGAGTTTAGAAATGCAAATCTGTTCCTTATGTGGACTTTAAATCCATGTTGTTTAAATTATATTTTAGCATTAGGATTCTGTCCGTCTAGGTTTTGATTTTTTTTACTACAGGAATTGTCTTTTTTCCATGCATCCCCAATAAGATATCTTGTTTCAATCCACAGTTCTTCTACGTAGTTCATGGTCAATTGAGTTTAGAAATGCAAATCTGTTCCTTATGTGGACTTTAAATCCATGTTGTTTAAATTATATTTTAGCATTAGGATTCTTTTAGTGTTCTTTTTCAGCTTTACTCTGATGTTGGATATTAACCATTCATGATGATCACTACCATAATCTGCTCACAATCTTGTTTTGGGTAACAGAACACTGCTTTTCCATCTCCTGCTTCCAGTTAGTCTGATTTCTACATTTACCATCTGGTGATGTTGATGTGTACAGTTTGGTTGCTTGAAGCATGTATTTGTAGTGAACAGAATGTTGGCTTCACAGAAATCTGAGTCATTCTCTTGCTTTGTTTCTGACCCCTAGACCAAATTTTCCAACAACATTTGGTTTTGCTTTGTCCTTTAATTTTGCATTGCAGTTATCTATCGTTATAATCGGGTCTTGTATTTCAGTGTGTGATCGATTTCCTCTAGGATGTGTGCATAAATATTTTCAATTTCATCTTCTTCAGCTTCAGTAGTTGGGGGCACAGGGTTGAATGATAGCTACATTGATTCCCTGGTGGCTGACTGATATTATTTGGTCAGACCTTACAATATAACCCCTTACTGCCTGTGCTACATCTTGTCTCAGTATTAAAGCACTCCATTTCTTCTGAATTTGTCATTTCCAGAGTAAAACACTTTATAGTTGTTTGACTTATAGTCAAACAACTTATAGTTGTACAGTCTACAGACACCAAGCACTGCAATATTTACTGTATGTACTGCATTTCTTGCTTTATGGTTTCCAACTATAGCTGACCCATAGTTCTTACATTTCATGTTCCAAGTTTATATACAGTGGTGCCTCGCATAGCGAGGTTAATTCGTTCTAAAAAAAACATCGCTATGGGAAAACATCGTTAAGTGAAACGAGTTTTCCCATAGAGATGCATTCTTCGCCAGTAGTTGAGTGCTTTTCAATCTGGAAGTCTCATCTTCCAGCACTAATCCCTTGTTTCATTTTGGACTTCTCATCATAGGTTTTTTCAAGGTAAGAAACGTTCAACAGCGGTTCACCACTGCCTCCTACTTTTGAGGTAAGAAATGTTCAGCAGTAGTTTACCATTGCCACCTTCTGCACAGTACTAACAAAAGTTAAGAGTGTCACTAATGTTGCCCTTATCTTCCAGTATCATCTTCAGGTTCTACTGCTGTCCAGGAACTGCCAGCCCAATGGAACTATCCGTTTTCTTCTGCCAATGCAGCCACTACCCCTGAAAAGGGCGGATGCATCTTAGTTTGGTATCTCAGCTGTGACCATTCCACCTTGACTGACCCTGCTAAGAGTTCAGGCTTGTAATGAAGTCTGACATTTCTCTCAGCTTCACTGACATATTGAAACCCTTTCACCACATTAAGGTGTGCATCTAAGCTTTTTCAGTGTATCTGATTCGGCATGTCATTCTCATTTTCAGTCTCTGTATTTCATGCTCAAGTTCAGCAGAGTCTTTCAAGATTTTTGCATTTTGTTTCTGTCTTCCAGGGTATTAGCTATTCCATCCAGTTTTGCATCATCTACAAATCTGATAAGCACTCCTTGCACCTCCTCATCCAAGTCATCAATGAAAATGTTGAAGAGCACCAGTCCCAGAACAGAGCCTTGTAGTACCCTGTTTGTTACCTCTTCCCAGTTTCAGAAAGAGCCACTGATAATCACTCTATGGGTACAGTTCTGTGACCAACTATGTATCCACCCGACAGCTGTTCTATCCAGCCTACACCTAGCTAACTTGCTAATCAGTATATCATAGAGCCTTTTGTCAAAAGCTTTGCTGACATCTATAACATTCCCACCATCCACAAGGGAGATAATCTCATCAAAAAACGAGAAAAAGAGGTAAGAATAGTAGAGAAGGCAAAATTTTATTTATCAGATGGACTTTTCCAGACATAAGGCAGGCAAACCAGTCAGTATCTATCATAAATTCACTTCAAAGTACTTCTACAGAAAAAGTACTCTAAGACTAGCCCTATTCAACTTTTAGGCCTGAACATAGGTTCACACAGGTCACAACACCCCAGTCCCACCCTCCTTATTTCCAACCTTGCCACAACGAGCAACAAGGTTTGAATGGCCAAGTCTAACTCTATTCAGTTGTACATGAAAATAATTTCTGTGCCATCAGAGATCCTTTTTAAGTCTACGTTTCTGAAAGTAAGTAGTAGGCACTCAGAACTCTTGGCTTCACATAAGAAAGCTGGAGCTGAGAGGGCACAGATAACACATGCACAGAAATTACGGGAGGGCCAGAAGTGGACACAGGATGCAGTCAATACACACACTCCAGACATGCGTTCACACAATATTGCTGGCATTCTGATTTGATTCATAAGTGACTTAAGCCTAGGGTGGGAACCTTTGACCCTCTGTATGATTCAGTCTGTAACTTCCACAACCCCTCGCCATAGGCTGATGGAAACTTCAGGCAAAACACTCGGGAGGACCAGACTCATAACACAATTCAGTACTAACTCACAACACTCAGGCAACATGAATCAGAATCTTGGAGAAAGGCAAATAGGTAAACATAATCCCAATCCTTCTTAAAACAACAATGTGGAAGCACAAACAAGAGAGAGAAGGGGCAGATGAGTTCTAGTGATAGGGATAAGTGGAAACTTACTTTGTAACAGCAACACTAGTGAGCGATGTCGTGGGTGCACCTTTCCTTTAGAAAGATAAAGGAAGAAGAGGAGAAAGATAACTTGTATTCCTAACCATTTACTTTTAAACAAACATTGCATAATCTTTCAAACAACTGAACTAAACCTATTACACAGCTGAAACTACTAAAGCAGAAAAAAGATCTTTAAAAAATCCATACTGAACTCTGTACAACCTGTAGCTCTGATGGACCAGGTCCATTTAGACAGCCAGGCTTCAAGTAACTAACAAGTAAGGCCAAACAATTTGTACTGCAAGAACATAACCCAGTAGTCCTATTCAGCCATTCAAATATGGTAAACAACATAGCGATGCTTCCCCCTATCCATGCTTTTTGTTACAAACATTACAATCCCCTTTTAAAATCACCATAACTGTAGCTAAGATGGAAATAATGAGAATTTGAACATCAGCAGCAAACCGCTGGACTAAGAGCTGGTTCTGGAATGCCTGCAAATAGTGCTTGTGAAAAGTTAATAAATCACAGTGGACTAATCACAGGAATAGCAACACAGGATTTATTGTTACTTGTGATCAAAGATCCCCTTACATGATCAAAGTGAACTCTTGAGTTTTTTAAAAAACACTGGATGGAGCAATTAATACTTATCCGTGCAGTCACTTTGTAAATTAAATATAAGAATCATTTAAAGCATTCATCAGTTATTAGCCATCACTTAAAATATTCATCACAAAGTAAGACAGATTTCCTTACCAGAGACAGACATTGCCACAGACCATGGCAACTGCATTGTTCCAGCCATAAACGGCTACAGGGAAGTTGAAAGCAGAAATGATCCCTACTAATCCCACCGGGTTCCACTGCTCTATTAAAGCATGTCCAGGTCCTAAAACAAAAGGTTAAGTAGAAGTCAATTTGGTTTGGCAAGAGCAAAAACCTACTACTATTCATCCTTCCCATTGTTCAATGAGCTCAGGCTGTTTATACTGCATTCTTACAACTCTTCTGTGTAATAGGTTAAGTTGAGTCCTACATTACTGCAGGACAAAACTACATCTTAAGAAGAATCTGTAGTTCCTGCAACTATGCAGTTTTTCCTGCCAAACCTGCAACCATTGAAAGCAAAGCAAAGCATGTTTCAATTCAAGATGTGGAGAAAAGAAAAAGCACAACAGACATCTTTCTCCATTTAAGGTACCACTGCTTTTAAACACATGCCAAAAATTCTGTGTGGTTTGACCTCAACAGAGTTTATTTTACTCGGTAAAAAGACATTTGGAAATCTAGTATCAAACACACAGAGAAAGCCTAATACAGTGGTAACACTCATATTTACTATGTTTAAGAAGCAAGTAAGAGGCATCCCCATGTACTGTGTTTCAGGTTTGCTATTGATAAAAAGCACTCACATACATAACCTGAGAGAAGGATTTAAAAGTTCACAGATACATATACGTAACCTGAGAGAAGGATTTAAAAGTTCACACAACTGTTACGTGATACACGCTTGAACTCAGCCGCACTTGACTGCCCAATATATAATGGTCAGAGTCCTACTGGGGATTTAGGCAGGCATAACTACAGAAATTACAGCAGTGAACTACCACTAATAAATGACTTTCTGCTTGTATTCCTTGTCACAAGGCACGTAACACAACTGGCAATCAGGAAGGAATTCTAGCAGCAACTTATTAATTGCATTTAAAAAATGCTGATCTGGATTGAGATACATGCTATGAGGTCGGCTGACTTGTCCATTTTTTTTCTTTCCCACAGCAAACCCTCCAGTTCCCTGACTCCTAGAGGGTCAGGTACAGGGCTGCTGAAGGCAATAGACTCTAGTGTTGGGGGGAGGCGGTAGAAAGCAAAAAGCAATCCCTGAAAATTCAGCATATGTCCCTTCCTGACTGCAGGAGACGCTGATCTGGACTGAGATACATGCTATGAGGTCGGCAGAAACTGACTAATCCAGCATATGTCCCTTCCTGACTGCAGGAGATCCCCATTTCCCATGCCCTGTTCAGTGGTTCCTCCATCACTGCATTTTTGGAGAGGTAGAAACCTACAGGGGTAAGGATCAAGGAAATCCACTTTCAGCACAAATGCTACATGCTGTTAAATCTGGATGCAGCTTGGATATCTATGTATTGCTTTAATAGCAACATATCTACCGTATTTGCCGCTGTATAAGGCGACTGGGCGTATAAGACGCCCCCCCAACATTCCCACTCAGAATGTAGAGTTTGTTATATACTTGCTGTATAAGACTACTCCCTCTTCCGCATGCGTGATTCTGCTTTGGCTGCATCATGGGGAGAGTTCCTTTTGCCCCTTTTGGTTCCTTTTCGGAGAGAGCCAGGGTTTGCTGAAAGAAGGAACAGCAGAGAGGCGGCAGCCATTTTGGAGAGGCAGCAGCCATGTGGTCGCATCTCAAAATGGCTGCCTCCTGGCGTGTGTTCCCGACAGTCAGCTGTTCCCGACAGGCGCTAGAGTCAGGCTGCTCCCAGGTTAGTAGCGGGGCTCTACTGGCTCTTACTACCAGGTAAGTGGAGAGAGGGAAGGTTTGCTGGACATGCACCTGGCGTACAAGACGACCCCCCCCCACTTGGAGGAATGTTTTTCAGGGCCAAAAAGTCATCTTGTACGCTGGCAAATACGGTATTCCTAGGAAAACATATACTTACTTTCAGAAGGAAGGACAGGTCCACCGATCATTCTGGATAAGCCAACAGCATAGTCACAGACATCCACATATTCTTGTATTTCACCAACACTCTCAACATGGATTTTCCCCACCTCTAAAGAAACCTAAAGGTATTGAAGATATGTATTAGTCTTGTACTATTGAGAAGTTCTGGTAATTTAACTAAGCATTGTATGAAAAATTACAAGACTCTGCCAAAATATCTTCTAGTAGGACAGAGATAAAAAAGAAAAAGAAGTGAACAGTAACTAATTGTGTTCTATAAAATACTATGATACACATAAGAAATATTTCAACATGCTCAGGGAATTTTATTTATTCTCTATTCTTCCATAATAAATACAGTACTAAATGTGGTTCACTGTACAACAAAATATAACACCAATCAGCAGAAGTATGACATCAACATTTCAAATCAAATTGCCTAAATGTTGTAAACATAATAAAAGATTAATTCAATAATAATATATTACATAAAGAAAACAATATACAGAAATGAAAAACAGAGCAAACATGAAATCATAAAATGATACACAGAATATGTAAATATTAAGAAAACACTGGTAAAGCAAAATGTTTTTATAGAACAGCAGAATCAATGAAGGCCCCTAGGTCTGAAGATGCCAGAATAATTGAATTAGGAATAATCTTTCCCCAGGTATTTCCTGCTACTTTTCCCTTCTTTTGACATGCTAGCCCAAATCCTGCTGTGTAGTGTAGTAAGTTGAAGTCACAGTTGGCCCATCACTCACAAAATCCCCAATGATCCAACAACATAATTTTGGCCATTGATACTAGATACATTTGCTTCGATTTTATAGCCTTTGGATACCCCCATATACATTTTAAACATTTACTAGAATATTGAAAACTGCTGGATAGCTCAGTGGTTTAAGTATCTGGCTGCAGAGCCAGAGGTTGGGAATTTGATTCCCCACTGTGCCTCCCTCATAAAGGCTGGACTCAGTGATTTATAGGGTCCCTCCCAGCTCTGCAGTTTGAAGATGTATTATTATTGTTGTTACTGTTAGAGCAGCTATGTGTGATGCATAACAGGGATGGTCAGAAGACTGATCAGAATCTACAAGTAAATTTCTCAGTGATGTACAGTAGACAGAGATTTCCAATTGCCAGACATTTAACCACAACAACAAAAGAATTACTCTCTAACTTCAAATGGTACTTTTGAAAGCAAGAAAACTTGGGGTAAGCTAATTCCTGTGTTCAGCATTTTGCAATCAAGAGCTTATCTTTACACTAGATCTACTACTGAATCTCAGTACAGTGGTGCCTCGCACTGCGACGTTAATTCGCTCCGCAAAGATCAATGCAGAACGAAAATGTCGCAATGCGAAATAAAAAAGCCCATAGAAATGCATTAAAACGTGATCAATGCGTTCCTATGGGCTTAAAACTCACCGTTCAGTGAAGATCTTCCATAGCGCGGCCATTTCTGGTGCCTCTTAAGCGAGGAATCTGTCCCAGAAAACAGCGGGCGGTCATGTTTTTTCCCGGCGGCCATTTTGAAACCGCCGATCAGCCAGCCGAAAATGGTCGCTTTGCGATGATCGGTCATCGCAAAGTGAAATTCCCCCATAGGGAATATCGCAAAGCGATCGCAAAAAAGTGTCGCAAAGCGATTTTGTCACTAAACGGAGCGATCGCTATGCGATGCACCACTGTACAGTATTCAAAAAATGAATTAAATCTCCCACCCTCAAGCCTGAAGTTTGTACATCCATGGCATACAGAACTACCGTGTTTCCATGAAAATAAGAGAGGGTCTGATATTAATTTTTGCTCCCAAAAATGCATTAGGGCTTATTTTAGGGGATTTTTTTTCATGTATCTTCTTCACAATGGTGGAAGTCAGTTTCACTTAAATGGGGCTTATTTGGGGGGTATGGCTTATATTATGAACATCCTGAAAAATCATACTATGGCTTATTTTCAGGTTAGTTCTTATTTTAGGGGAAACAGGGTACAATCTACACTTACAGAAATTTGCATATGAGAAAAATTGTTCTAAAGAAAAAAAAGGCAGGTTTTCATTCTTTCTTTTCTCACATACTGAAGGGTGTGTTTCTTCAAATTGCCTTTGCTTTATGCAATTTATATAAGAACTCACAATTAAAGAAGTAAAAAGTATGATGTTTAATTAAATTCAATAAGACGACTCCACTTAAAATATTTTCAAGTTGATTTCAATCCCTGCTATTAACACAATGTAAATGGACCATTTCATATTTAAGAAAGATTACACAAGTTAGAAGAAACTATAATTTTTAGTTAGGACGGGGACTGTTGCGGTGTAAAAACTTACCAAATTTGCTAGAACTTTAATTTTCTGCCTCAAGGCGTCACCAATCTGCCTCACTACCTCTCCTCGCTTAGGTGCAGGAATCTATACAAAGATGCAAGAAATGAGACAGATTATTTTGTAATTGACTTTTCTTTTAAAAAAAGAAAAAGCACTAAATCATACAGAATATTTTTGGTGCTTTGTCCAGTGTGTACCTGGTAATCCAATGGTAAAAGAATACTATAGATACTTAGCGTGTAGGGAATAATTAATAATTCCCAGGCAGTAAAAGAATACTATAGGTACTTAGCCAATAGAATCAGACACTTTAATGACTGTGATCAAAATCCTATTGCTTAGTTATGCTTGTGGAATGCCAATGGCATATCTGGCCAGGGGTACATCATTAGCCAGTAGAATCAGACACTTTAATGACTGCTGTCAAAATCCTGTTGCTTACTTATGCTTGTGGAATGCCAATGGCATATCTCACCGCAATTTCTTGCCACTAATTAACAAGTTCCTACTTGGGTTTTCAGGTATGTGCCAGTTCAGAGGGTTGTCACAAATCTGAAATTCCGAGGGACTCAATGACTGGAATCCTGTTGCACAGCTACGTATGCGTAATGCAACGCTACAGAAACAGTACAGAATTGTGGGCAGTGCAGAAGTAATATCCATAAAGCACCTCTGCGGGCGTATCATGCACCTGTTCTAACCTGAACCATAAGACTGATTACAGAATTGCGAACTTCCGATCGATCACAAAATCATGAATCAGTTATCAGCTGCACAGCCACAACAGGATGTACATGGCCAACTGTGCAATTCTGGCTACCTGGGTATTAAAGCTCTGTAAACATAACATTATTTCAGCGATCAACTGCCGGCAAGAAGCTGATGTGAGTGACATATTTGCCTTCTTCAGTCATAGCAATGCAATAGGATTTGGACCATAATCTTACAATAGGTCCTATCATCAACAAAACGTCATCCATTTCAGAGCTTCAGATGGGGCTCTTAACTGAAAGATATGGGGGCATTCAGATAAAAATGCTTGCCGGATTTCAAAAAGTTGAGCCAGAAGGGCTGCAACCATCCCTAGTGTCAGAAAAGTTGCTATCAAAAATTTCCTAGTTCTCCAAAACTTTCCTAGTTCTCCAAAAATATGCCAGTGCATACAGTTCAATAGGGAGGAAAGAATTCGGGCAGAAACAGTAGAATTCAGTGGAGATATACTAGTCATAGACCCAAAGTTGGAGTCAAGCACAAGAAATGAAATGGTGTATCTTTGCTATATCGTATGGGTGTTAAGGCAGCATAGGATTTATGAGCTTTAGCTCTTATACCTAAATGTTTATTACGCTAAATGTTTTAAACGGCATAAAGGCAATTGGAATTTGCACTGAAGATACTGCTTATCTCATAAAGGATGAGAGAATACACAAGTAATCTCTGCATGATAAAATTTTAAAAAAATCCATATAGTTATCAGTTCCAGGTACTTAAGCCCAAATGTGATACAAGCTGAGTAAAAACTAAAGGCTAACTATAGTAGTTACAAGATTTGGGAGCTGAACAAGGTACACAAATGGCAATGGTTAAAGATCACAGAAATTTGTATATAAATTCAGTGAAGTTTACTTTCAAATAAATATGCTTGCATGAGGTCAGGCCAAATGGTTTTAAGAAAGCATATGAGAAAGCTACCAAATCATTAAAAAAATCTGAAAATCTGTGATGTTTAATTAATCTCACATATACAAGGGTTCTGAAATTTTGTCCAAACACACATTGCTAAATTGAAAAGTACTGATGTGGTGTGCTACCAAAACAATTTGGAAATGGAAAGATATGGCTTCTGCAAGCAGTTAGGCTATGTTCTCATTAGAGCTACATTTAATATATTCCCCAACACAGGTTAAAACAAAAGGACCATAATCCTACTGCATCACTTTAATAGAAAATTCAATGGACTTATACTGTAGCTCATTGAAGAATGCCCACCAACCCCAAAGATATGGAATGTGTGGCTGTCCAGATGTTGCAGAACTGCAACTTGAGATAGCCCTAGCCAGCAGTCATTGTTAAAGGACTATAGGAGCTGATGTCCAACATCTGGAGGGCTACATTTTCTCCATTCCTGACCTTCGCTTACAAGATACATTTCAGAAAACCACAAAGTGATTTCACTCACCTCTGCCCATATTTGCCAAGCCTCTTTCGCTTTCTTTACTGTTTCTGCATAATCTTCCAAGCTGGCCTAAAAAAATAGTTGTTCTTGTTGTTAAAATTCACTTTATTCACTATTATTTTTACCACTACATACAAGAGTAAGCCACAAATAAACTAATGCATATATTCTTTGGGATACTTCAAGCTTTTTATGACAGATACATCTTATATGGGCTAATCTACACATTAACGATTATCTCCTTTAGTTTTGGTGATCGGCTGTATTCCAGATAAAGAAAGGAAGACAAGCACTGTACACAAGACATGCCTGATTCCTAGCATCTCCAGGAAAGGTTGGGGAATTTGCCTGTCCAAGAGACACTCGTGAACCAGATGGACCAGCAGTTTGATTTCACATAAATCATCTTCTTACATTCTTAAGCAAGATGGTTTCGGTCTGGTTCTACATCTTATCTCAAACACATAAGACTTTTTAGATGAACCATTAACGGATTTACATTCTTACCAATTCTTTCAAACGGAAAACTATTTGTACAGAAATGATTCTGGGTTCTAAACCCAGAAGATCTCAAAGGTTTGCACAATGTTTAGTGCCCTCTGAATTGACCTAATTAAAGTGTTGCCCTAGCATGGGTTTGGGGGATTTTTCCGTATGGCCAACATAAGTATATCTGCAATTGATTGCACAGGGACAGGCTGCTCATTGGATGTTAAATGTTTCAACTGGATTTTTTTACTGAATAATAAAAACGCAAAACAGCCCCATTTTGGCACAGAAGGGAAAGTTTCCAACTTGCATTATTGTACTGAGCCATTTTCTGTATTTTTCCTCCTCCTTATCTGTTTTTTAACCTTCCAAGCCTAGCCTATAGCTATTTAAGAATATGGTGTAATTTTCCTAGAGGGGAACTTGATTGAAAAAAACAAAAGAAAAACCTTACCTGACGAACTCTGGCTATCGGCTGATTATTAGCAGGGCAATATGTTGTCATAACCTGAAGAGAAAACATTTTCAGCCACATTTAGTTACAATACAATTATATGTTCAAGATTTACTATATATAGGTGAAAAATACAGTACAGTCGTGCCCTGCTGGACGATTACCCCACTCTACGACAAATCCGCTTTACGTTGACGTTTTTGCAATTGCTTTTGTGATCGCATAACGATGTTTTAAAGGGATTTTTTTCGCTGTGCGATGATTGGTTCCCTGCTTCGGGAACAGATTTTCGCTTTACGAGGATCAGCAAACATCTGATCGTCAGGTTTCAAAATGGCCGCCAGCTGAAGAAAATGGCCCCCCGCTGTTTTCTAGGACGGATTCCTCGCTTTATAGGCACCAAAAATGGCCGCCGTATGAAGGATCTTCGCTGGACGAGCAGGTATTCAGCCCATTGGAACGCACTGAACGGTTTCCAATGCATTTCAATGGGTTTTTTAATTTCGTTTGATGACGTTTTCACTGTATAGCGATTTCACTGGAATGAATTAATGTCAGGAGAGGCACCACTGTACATATGAATCATAAATCTCACTACAACCATGATTGCCTTAATCAGGCCAAGTCTGCATATGGAATAAATGTATCCCTTATAAATGCTAACTTTAATCAGACATTTTTAGACATACAATTAGCAAACAGGAATGGCAACAGTTATAGATGGAGATACAGGAGTGTATACATATCTACTCTATATCCCATGTATTTTCTCCTTTCTCTGTGTTTTTGTATTTGCAATTTAAAACATATTTTTAAAACCTTATTGCAGAAACAAGCTTTCGCACATGGACCTTCAGCAACAAGAGCAAAATGGGCAGACATACTGGGAAAAACTAATATTGTGATGGAATAATGCATGTGGAACTGAATGGATTGTGCAGTTTAGACAAAATTCAACAGATGTACACATAACATCCTGCATTAACTGCATCTTAGCAAGCAGTACCTGTGAAAAAAAGTCAAGGTATCTTGCTAAATCAGAAGTTGCAAATGAGTAGACAGTGTGATGCAACTTTTTAAAAAGCTAACGGAATTTTAGTATACATTAACAGAAACAAAGCATCCAGACCGCAGGAGGCAATGGCATCCAGTGTCTAGTAACTTTTTAACGAAGACATATCAAATGGAAAGTGACCAGAACAGTTAGGCATCTGGGAACAAAGTCTTACAAAGAAATGATTGAAAGTGGTGATCCTTGTCCTACAGAAAGGAGGATTAAAGGGGAGACATGTTACTATCTGTTATGCAATCAAGAATGTTGCTGCAGAGAACAAGTTTAGAACCAATGGGTGGGAACTGCAGGAAGTCAATTTTTGACTACATTTTTGAAGATGTTTCCTAACAGTAAGAGCTGTTCAACAGCAGAACTTAATGTCTCAGAAGGTAGCATGAGCTCTTTACTGGACATATTTACTCAGAGATTCGACAGACATCTGGCAAGGTTGCTGTGGCTACACCTCAATGTTGCAGATCCTTTGTTAAGCAAGGGGATGTTTTGGACGACCTCCGTGATACCTTCAAACTCTGTGATCCTAAGTTTAAAAAGCAAGGAAACAGCAAATCTGACTTATACCTATAAATCAATGCTCACTTCCTGGGTTCATTGACCAGTAAGTTTCTCACCCTCATTTAGTTAACTGCAAAATACTTTTATTTACAATACTTTTAGTTACTGTACTTAGTTGGGTGAGTAACTTAACTCACAGGTGAGTCAACCAACTCCAGAAGTATTATAGGAAGGATAAATAAGGTAATGTGTGAGTCCTACACATTTTAAGCTAATTTGCTGAAGTGGAGAGAAAAAAGTAGGAGCTATGAGAGAAAAATATCGACCCCACTACAGTAGTGCTCATCTTAGATAAAGAAATGGATGAATCAGAGACCTGCCTTTGTTCCTGCCAATTCTGATGAGTTGAGCAACAATCACAATTCTGCATAGCAGATTGTGACAACCAGTAGTTCAAATGTGTGGTCTCCAGTATACCATCATTTAATCCCAGGGGACTCATGGTTTTAACCACCTTCACACTGAAAAGTACTTAAGCTAAATTAAGAGTTGCAGAACCCTTGAAGACTGGATCCCTGTGGCGGAATTCAACACCTAGCTCCACCTGGAGCAAACCCATTGAAATCACTTGCTCAACAGTTAAACATTCATGTAAATCCCTCAGGTTCAGTGGGTCTACTCTGGCTGCAACCAGCAACTGACTTCAGACTAAGGATTTTTGAAAACAGTCTGCTCCCTTTAAAATAAACGGTATTTAGGAGTCGTCCGTGAAAGCAAGCACACCATCATTCGTGATTTAGGGCTGCAGAAAGACTGACTCATCCGCGGAAGCTCTTCTGGGAGCCTAAAATGCGGGAGTCGGAGACCAAAAAAATAAATAAATAAATAAAAATTAAAAAAAAAGAATTTGATTTAAAAAGCAGTCCTTCAAAATGTCCGCACCTTCTCAATTAGGCTGGCTCCGGCAGCACAGCCTGGTCACCGCCCCCCTCCTGCCTGCCTGCCTGCCTGCCAGCCCACCTACCTCTCCGCTTCCTCCCCAGGTGCCATTATACACTCCCCCGTTCTCCTCCTCCAGGCCCAGCTCCTTCAGCCACGCGTAGGGGGCTTGCTGGATCAGCAAGGTCGACATGGGGGCGGCGGGTCCGCAGCGGGGAGAAGGCGACGAGAACCCTTTCCTCCTCAGCAAAGCGCGCCTGCCGAGCGAAGCCAGCCGGAGCGGGAGCCACATCGCGTGGAACTTGGGCCGCACGGCTCTCGCTCGGCCAATGGGAGGACGAGTTCCGCCGTTCCGCCCCCCTTGAGCTCCGGCAGCCGGGATTGGCGCGGGCAGGCCGGATGCGGCGCCTCTCTGAGCCGCCCTCGCTGCGAGCCGAGCCGAGCGACGCCGCGGTCTCTGGGCCAGGCCGGAGCGGGCGGCGAAGCTTTTCCCTTCTGCGGCCCGCGAATGACAAATCCCTCCGTTCTTATAACCGCCCTCTCGCCTTGTCCCGATGACCTTTAGACGATGTTTTATTCCCGCCAGGGTTAATTTAGTCCGGGAGATCAAGTGGGTTCCAGCCGGCTGCGAGTGACGCCGCCCTTGATCTAGTTGGCACTTCAACTGCTCCAGTGGTGGATCAAGGGAGGACGCCGACTTACAAGAGCAGCCTCTGATTTCAGTTAATTAGGAGGCCTTTGTGGCCACCACTGCCGGGGCCTACCGTTCACGGACACAATTGAACCCCTAGAAAGGCACAAGCCGCCCAGGCACAAAGCTTTGAAACTGACACGATGCCTCACAAGAGATGATGAACTCAGGTGACCTGGCAGAAACTTCAGAGGGATTTTGTTCACAAGTTCTGACTCTCGACATCTTGCAAAGAGACAATAAAGTCATAAAGGTCTACTATGGTATCAGTCGTTCCTGCTAGAAAGAGGTAGCATTTTTCTTTGCATAGTCAGAACTGAATGCCTAGGTCCAGACACTGGTGTGCGGTCGATGTGCAATAAGCCAGTAGCACTATCTGATTCTTTTTTCCCCGCCTTGTGGGGAAACTAGAAAAGTATCTCTAATTAAACATATAAAGCCCTAAACGGCTTGGGCCCTGGCTACCTGAAGGACCGCCTCCTTCCGTATCAGCCTACACAGCAATTAAGATCTAGCCAGGGAGCCCTTTTGAAAGAGCCATCCCTCAAGGAGGTAAGAGGGATGGCTTGTAGACAAAGGGCCTTTTTGGCAGCTGCCCCCAGACTATGGAATGCCCTCCCGACTGAGATTTGCCAGATCAAAACCTTCCTGTTCCAGAAGGCTTTTAATTGAAATAATATCAGCTGTGGGTCTGATGGCAATTTTCAGAGTATATATTTTTAATTGCATTTTAATTATTTTGCCCTTTTATTTTGCCTTTTTATTGTATTTTTAATGTTGTAAGCCGCCCAGAGACCTTCAGGTAGTATGGGCGGCATATAAGTTAAATAAATAAATAAATAAAGTTGTCCATGTTTCTAAGGCTTACACTCACTGAAATTTACCAAGCTGCATCTGCAGATAAATTACAGCATGAATTAATCAATGTTTTAATTTCTGTCCCCTAACAAGTAAGGTAAAAGTAAAGGTTCCCCTTGACATTTAGTCCAGTCATGTCCGACTCTAGGACGCAGTGCTGATCCCCGTTTCCAAGCCATAGAGCCACCATTTGTCCAAAGACAGTTTCCGTGGTCACAAGGCCAGCGCGACTAGACATGGAATGCCATTACATTCCCACCATGGTGGTACCTATTTATCTACTCACATTTTTACATGCTTTAGAACTGCTAGGTTGGCAGGAGCTGGGACAAGCGACAGGAGCTCACTCTGTCGATCTTACGACGCTGGTCTTCTGACCTTACAGCACAGAGGATTCTGTGGTTTAACCTGCAGCACCACCGCGTCCTTTTCTAACAAGTAAACATCAGGGCAAAGGGGAGGGCATATTTTTTTTCACAAAATCCCAGCCTGTGGGCTGTATCCACAATCAGTCATGCAGAGTAGACTCATTAAAATCAGTAAGATATGCTTTAAGTCTCACTGATTTCACTAGGCCTATCCTTAGCGTGAATAAGTCTCATGCTTCTAATGCAATAGTTTCCTAGGTGTGATTTTGAGAAGAACCTGCACTTCTAGCTGTAGTAGAAGAGAAAGTAGGGGGAAAGAGATGAGAGGAAGCAAACATCTAATTCCACAGCATTGCTTGAAATGTGCTAGTCAATGTTTTATAAGAGGAAAGCATCATGTGATATGCAGTATTACAGATTTTGGTTGAAATTGTTGTACACACTCCCTTTAGGCTACCTGGAACTCTGGTGCTTCCGCCTGAGTAAACACTTGTAAGGATTCTAATCCATTACTGTTGTTGCATACACTGTTGTGAAATAAAGCTTTTTTCTGGATGCAGTACTTGATAAAAGTTTTTTTTTGAGAAGGTTGTCTTTTGGATTGCCTGAGGAAGCATGACCTTGGGGGATTCTGAAGCATCTGCTTCAACAGAGTGAACTGTCCAAACTCAGCAGCCAAGTGAGCAGTCAGGAAGAATGTATGGTGCTGTAGATTCTTCTTGGACTACAACCACCACCACCCTCCAATTATCCCTGGACATTAGTAATACTTAATAGGAATCATGAGAATTGCTTCCGCCTGAGTAACATCCACAGGGCCACAAGCTGTGAAGCCTTTAAGTATTTGAGAGGATACACAGGTAAGATGCTTTTACAGATCATTCGTCGTTTAGTCGTGTCCGACTCTTCGTGACCCCATGGACCAGAGCACGCCAGGCCCTCCTATCTTCCACTGCCTCCCATAGTTGTGTCAAATTCATCTTGGTTGCTTTGATGACACTGTCCAACCATCTCATCCTCTGTCGCCCCCTTCTCCTCTTGCCTTCACACTTTCCCAACATCAAGGTCTCTTTCCAAGGAGTCTTCTCTTCTCATGAGATGGCCAAAGTACTGGAGCCTCAGCTTCAGGATCTGTCCTTCCAGTGAGCACTCAGGGTTGATTTCGTTTAGAATTGATAGGTTTGTTTTCCTTGCAGTCCAGGGGATTCTCAAGAGTCTCCTCCAGCACCACAATTCAAAGGCATCAATTCTTCGGCGGCCTGCTTTCTTTATGGTCCAGGTCTCACTTCCATACATCACGACAGGAAAAACCATAGCTTTGACTATTCTGACTTTTGTTGGTAAGATGATGTCTCTGCTTTTTAAGATGCTGTCAAGATTTGTCATCGCTTTCCTCCCAAGAAGCAGGCATCTTTTAATTTCGGGGCTGCTGTCTCCATCTGCAGTGATCATGGAGCCCAGGAAAATAAAATCTGTCAGTTTTTACAGATAGAGACACTTTTTTTTGCAGATACTATTTTTTTTCCAGGCTTTTCTTTGCTAGGATTTGCGACATATTCCCCACATATTAATTTACGGGTTTAGTACTCTGCAGTTGAAATTTACTCGGCGGTTGGTTTGTTTCTTTTGTTTCAATTCGGCTTTGTATATCTGATGGTATTTTCACGCGCCGGTGGGTAGCCTGCCTTTTCAGGCTTCAAAACCGCGATCGCGTGAGCCGCGGGAGTAGAAGCCACGCCCGTCTCTTTAGTCACCCAAAGCGAAAAACTGCAATGCCCGGCATGCCTCGCGAAGAATACGTGCCTTGCGTTGCTATCTCCCGCCGCCGCCGCCGCCCCCGTTCTCAAAGCATCATGGGGTCCGTAGTCCTAGTGGGTTGTGGCCGAGCCTCTGCGGAAGAGGAAAGCGCGGTTTTCGCCGCCCTCTTCCTCTCGCCGGGGTTGCATCGCTCCTCGCCTGACTGAGGGGCGGGAGGATGGCACTGGAGGCTCGAGGGATGGAGCAGGACGTGGAGGACGGGGAGATTTTGGATTCCAACTCGGACTGCGAAATGCCGGTCTCGGCCGCTACCAGGAGCCCTCAGCAGGTCGGGCCAGCCCCACCTACCCCCATCCCTTCATCAGTCGGGCTTTGTGGCGGGCGTCCTTTTCCCGCCTGCTTCTCCCAGGGGGAGGGCTGGAGGCCTCGGGGGTGCCTGAAGCAAAGGGTGCCCCCCCTCAGAAGATAGCAGAGAGACGGGGTGGGGCCACCTGCAGGCTTGTGAGGAGCAAAATGTGGGGGTTGGGGGGGAGGGCCGCCGTTTTATCTCAGTGCGGCCTTATTCGACGTAAAATCCCACCGGTGTGTGTGTGTGTCTCTGCCCAGGTAAGCCTGACTCGGCACGCGGTCCTCTCGAAGCAGAATTTTCTCTGGAGACGTCTTATCTTTTCGCTGCAAGCCCGAGAAACTGCCCCGGACGAATTGCTGCCTTGTTGTGTACCGCTCGGAAAGGCACCCTGTGTCTCCGAGGCCTGGTGGTAATCGTACCTGAGGGGAACTCTGGGGCAGCTTCTCGTTTGCTAGTACACGCTGGTGTTCTCATCCGACGCTGAAACATGAGCTTTCAGGCGATCCTCTGTGGATAAGGGAGCGCACAAGTGGAGTGTTTGCAGCACAGAGTGGTCCAGTTCAAGGTTTATCTGCCTGATGACTTATTCACATCTTGCCTTTCTCGCAAAGGTGGAATACTGTATTCAGAGGGCTGTAACCATCTTTAACCTAAGAAAGGGACTATCTTGTGCCACCTTGAAGACTAACAAATATTATATACAGTACTGTGAATTTTTTTCTGATGACATTTCAGTGTTTCAGAGAAGTATGATATGAAATTTCAGGTGTATAAGTACTACAGTACACCTAATTGGAGGCAGGATTATAGACAGTGAGGGAAATTAAATGAGAAAGTTTGGGTAGTGAGAGTAACATAAGCACTGAACATCCACAGAACTGTTGCCAGCTTGACAAATTGTTCCTATCTTTTGGCTGACGTCTTTGAAACCGAAATGAAGAGAATGGCTGCAGGTAGGCATTTAACACATGTACGGGGATAAGGACCCAACTAGATTAGAACTTTGTAATGAATTGTAATTCTAATTTCAGTCTCTTTAAAGTTTTTTACTCTGCAATTGTTAACTTTAAGGTCAGTATACAATGGCCTGGAAGAATGAAGTTTTAGCCCACTTGTGATGTCAGATTTAGATGCCTATCTAGATAGGTAAAGGTAAAGGTTCCCCTTGACATTTTTAGTCCACTTGTGTCCGACTCTAGGGAGCGTTAATCATCCTGTTTTTAAGCCATAGAGCCAGCGCTTGTCCGAAGGCAGTTTCCGTTGCCACGTGGCCAGCGTGACTAGGGAATGCCGTTTTACCTTCCCACCGAGGTGGTACCTATTTATCTACTCACATTTGCATGCTTTCGAACTGCTAGGTTGGCGAGGAGCTGGGACAAAGCAACAGGAGCTCACATGGATTTGATCTTACGACTGCTGATCTTCTGACTGTGGAGCACAGGCTTCTGCGGTTTAGCCCACAGCACCACCACGTCCCTCCCTATCTAGATATCATGCATGTATTTCTTTTACAGAGGGGTTGGCTTTTTTGCCTATGTGGAATGCAGAAGGCTATTGCTGTCAGACAGTAATATATATTGCACTGAAAGATGAGCAGGTGTCTAATTTTTGTAGATTACATTCCTAGGTTTTGTAGGTTTTTTGTTTTTGTTTTTTGTTTTTTTGTTTTTTGCTTAGGGCTGCTTACAGTGTCTGCTCCTATGACATGTTTTGCTATTAAGTTGTTGTTTAACCTTGCACATATATTTGAGCAGACACTGTGACTTCTGCAGCCTCTAAGTATGTTCAGTCTTTCTTTTTCCCCTTCTGCTTCTGAAGAGGTGCATTTAATCATTCCATATGTTTGTGAAAATTCTGCTTTGGCTTCATAAGGATTTATGTTTGGAGATTAAGCTTGTTGTTAGCATTTCGGGTTAACAGTTAGTTCAGTTTGGTGCCAGATCTTGGATGCATCTTTCTCCTAGCTTTCCCTCAGTGAGTACAAGATGGTATACAGAGCTCTGTTTCTTCTCAGGGAATTATCACAACTGAGATACATTAGGCTTAGAGCAGTGGTTCCCAATCTTGGTTAACCCAACTGTCCTTGGACTGTAATTTCCAGAAGCTTTCAGCTTCTGTGCTGGCAGAGGTTTCTGGTAATTGCAGTCCAAGAACACTTGGTTTACCCAAGATTGGGAACCACTGACTTAGAGTGTTATGCTCTATTTAATTATAAATACTAGACAATGGGAGCAAGATTTGTTACTCTGATAAAGACTGTGTCACAATGACACAGTACATACTGTGTCGGGGTGAGATCAACTCAGTTCTTGATTGCTATCCAACTATCTGCTAAAATCCACTGTTTTCTATTAGTGCATTCTTTGGGTAGGGTTGAATGTCAAAGTTACTGGACGCTCCTGGAAAATGTTCTAAAACATAATCTAAACCAGTTGGTCAGACTCCTATTTACTTACACAATTGTAGAAGAGACATTGTCTAAGCAATTCAACTCTTTGTGCACCTGATCTTATATTGGTTGCAAAATTGGGCATGTGACCATTCAGCTCACATAGCTGATTCACATAAGGGGAGTCCACAGGAGAAAAACTGCTGTAATGTACAGTATGTGTTTTTTTTACTCCGGTTAGATTTTGGGCATGGTCATATGTCAGACTGTGCTTTATTTTTTGAGACAAAAGAAGCACAGATCTATTAAGAAATGGGAAAGAAACCAGGCTCATTTGCTTAAAAATGTTCAAGATGCTTTCAGCAAAGGCCAGATTTGTCAGCTGCCATATTTTTTAAAATAAACATGAATAGAATCTCCCATATTTATTTTCCAAGCTTGTGAGCTTGCCAGCTAGCTTTTTTCTAAGAACAAAAGACTTCCACTAGATTGACTGTCAATCTAGTGGAAGTCCTTTGTTCTTACAAAAGAAAAGTTGTATAAGACTGAAGTTTCTTTTTTTTCTTTTTATAAAAGGCATTTCCAATAAAATGGTTTTTTTCTGTGGTTTAAAGATTGGGTAAGTAGAAATACTATAGATTAAGTTGACATACTAGTTGCATCACTCACAAAGTGAATGTTCTTGCATACCTGTAGCCTCAGCAAAGGACAGAAGGATTATAAATATTAAGAGGCCCTATGGAAGGCATGCACAAATAGAAACATACGGAGGCAGATGTATTTCTCTTTGTGAAATGACCTATGAATTCAATATGGGAAGATTCCGAAGAATAATAAAATTTGTCCATGCACCCAAATTCGGGAATCTGTAAAGTTTTTGTACTTGCAACCATTCCCCACTCCCAGATTGTGGGAGTACACTGTGATTTCAAGATTCTCTTCATATTTTGAGAGCTGGATGGTTTAGGTATCTGGTTGCGAAGCCAGAGGTTGGGGGTTCAATTCCCCACTGTGCCTCCTATGTGTAGAGCTAGTTTGTGTGGCTTTGGGCAATCCAGGGCACTCCCAGAAGATACACTTCTGAGTTTTGTCTCCATGGGAAAACCTGAAAAGGGTCACCATAAGCCAGAATTGAGTTAATGGCACATGATTGTTATTATATTTTGAAGTTCCTGTGAAACAGTGTAACTCTGAATGTACTGTGTATTATCAGTACTGAAAGTTTTGGCAGATAAACACAGAATGTAGTAGGGAGCCCCACAGGCTACACAACACAAATTGCATCTGTAAGCAGAAGATAATGTAAATTGACAGATGCCCAGAACAAGTGAAGCTTGTGTACCAGCCAGACCTCTTGGAAGCTTGTGTGGATTTCAGTAATGCTTTTTGCTTCAAAGAAAAAAAAAGACTCAAAATGAATCTTGCAGCATCCTTGGTAAAAGTACCAAGAAATTGGAAACTGTTGTAACTAGGGTCTCCCTAGACACAGACAAATACATGGTTGCTCCTTCCTAGTATGAATGGTTGTGGTTATTTTTGGTCACTCCAAGAGATCTAATGGTGAGTTCTTTTTCCTCATACAGGCACACCTCGGTTTACATATGCCTCGGTTTATGTAATTTTTGGTTTATGAACCAAAATACATAAGAAATAATGCCTTGGTTTACATTTTTACGGGGGGGGGGTGGTTCGCTGTACAAAAAGGACACCTTGCATGTGGAGGTTTCTATTGCCGCCCCCGTTGCTACAGCAATCCGCATTCTGGTTTACATAATTTCTGCATTATGTAATGTCCCAGATGATGGATTAATTTCGTAAACTGAGGTACGCCTGTACTGGTTTTGAAAACTGCACAATTGTTCACATTATGAATACAACATTGTACAGTATTGCATTTATAACCATTAACGTTTTTAGAGTTTCATATCTTAGTAATACATAACTGTTTTACATTAAGTAGCACTTGTTCCAGATAAGTGGAATAGTATCAGAGAGTGGCTCTTCTAATCTTTATGCCTCTGTTCATGCAAACATTTAATATAAAAGAAGGGATATGTTTGTGGTAACAATGTGGTGCTAGTTTCATCTTCCCTTCTAACATATGTAATAAAATGTGAGTCTGATACTGAGATGTATGGATGAAGAACTTAGTGTCCTCAAGAATGTGTTTTTGCAACTTACACTATCAGACATCCTTTAAACTCATGCCAATTAAATATTTCATAATGTGGCCAACCAATCTAAAAGCAGTTTTCTGTTGTTAATCTATAACCGAAGAATGAGCTGATGTGTAATGTATAGCTGAGCTCTAATTGTATTATGTGCTATAACACAATTCCTTTATATATTTACACTTCACCATGACAGACATGTACTGCAGATATCAAAAATTGCAACCATGCCCCTTATATTGCAGAAATCAGTTTACTATACGTTCTGCAATGCTGTCATTTAAGCAGTGAATTGTCAACAGTGTGAATGAAGCCTATTTTTTCATGTAAAAGTAGAAGAATTTTAAAACATTTTGAATTAGCTTTTTAAACAATGGTCGAATTAGCATTTTTGAAATACTACTTACATATAAACAGTCTTAACAAGCCAGTAAGCCTCTTTAAAAATCTTTCCTGTTAGAAATTTACATTTAAATTCCGATTTTAAATCTGCATTTGTAATTTCTTAAAACTGAATCATGACAATTAGCCAAACAGTGAGCTTGAAAGCTGCTTTTCAGTATAATTTATCTGTTTTGAGAGGAGCTTACATCTTTAAAAGACAATATTTAAACGCTAAAACAGTATACAAATATAAAAAGAATCAAATACTGCACTAAAAGTGGTAAACAAAAGTACCACCACAGGCACATTCAAAGCAACAAGCCACAACACCCCATTTAAAAACCCTTGCCAGATAGCCCAAGGGAAAGCCTGTCTGAAGAGAAAAGTCTTTATCTATTTGTGGAAGGACAACAAAGATAGGGCCAGCCTGGCTTCTCATGGGAGGAAATTCTAGAGTCTAGGAGCAATGACTGAGAAGGCCCTCTCCTGTGTCCCCACCAAATGCACATGTGAAAGTGGCAGGACTGAGAAAAAGGCTTCTCTTGATTTTCTTAATACCCAGAGAGGATCATAAAGGGAGGATACAGTCCTTGTAAAAGCTTGAATGCAAGCTGTTTAGGGCTTTATAATTTAAAACCAGAACTTTGAATTATGCCCAAAATCTGTTTGGCAGTCAGTGGAACTCTTGTAAAGGGGATTATATGATCCTTATAACCAGCCCCATTAAACAGTCTGGCTGCATTGTTTCAGTCCCACTGAAGTTTCAAAGTGCTTTCCAAAGGTAGTCTCATGTAGAGCATGTTACTGTAATTTAGCCAGGATGTAACTAAGGCATGTGTCACCGTGGCCAGATTAGACTACTCCAAGATTGGGCAAAGCTAGCACACTAGTTTTAATACAAATATAATTTGGCATGCAGAAATTACAAATTTATAGATAATACAATATATGTTCTTCGTAGCCTCTGCGAATGCACACAAGTGGGTTGTTCTGCGCCTAGCATGATGTTTTGGAAGTTTCTCGAGTTTAAAAAAGTTTTGACAATGAGACCATCCCTCCATGGAGCGCATGCTCTGCCCTCCAAATGTCCCCTCAGTTCCTTTTTTCTGCCACGTTGGTAGGACATATAGGAACACCTAGACTAGAGCGATAAAAGTGAGTATTAGATTGTTTATATCCGAATCTCTCAGATTATTATTATAATTAGTACTGTATTTTTTTACATCCCCTTGTGATTAGCCCTTAATTTCTTCCCCATTTCAACTGTTTTCTGCTTCCCGCGTTTTTTCTTCCCCCACAATGCCGGTTTCCTACTTTCCCCATTTTTATGGCCCCTCAGGGACCCTTTAAGCGGTGCATTCTCTGTACAAAGAAGATTCCGCTTACTGATGGGCACGACAAATGCTTATTTTGTCTTGGGGAAGAACATCAAACCCAGTTGTGACCTGAATGCAAGAAACTTACAAAACCAGTGATAAAATTAAGATTACAGTGTCTGAGATCATATCTGTGGGGAAAATCTCTTCACCTGACTATGGAAATACTTACATCACTAACACAAAAGGACTCAGCACATCCAAAGCCAGCCCGATCCATATCGAGCCCGACACCTCGCTCAAAATGGAGCCCGACGTAAACTCATACTAGGCAGAAGAAGTAATCCAAACCTCCATCGAAATCGAGCTCAACATCTGTCTAGAAGTCTCGGATGCATTCTGATGAAACCACCAAAAAGAGAAAGCAAATCAACAAAATCAAAAAAGCGACCTAAATCCACACACATCGAACCACCTCAACTTATTCCTCCATTGCTACTTTGACAGCAGCGGATTTTTGGAAGGAACTGAGGGGATGTTCGGAGGGTGGAGCATGCGCTCCATGGGGGGAGGGGCATGTCTCATTGTGAAATCTTTTTTAAGCTCTAGAAACGTCCTGCGCAGGAGTGTTAATTCACAGAGGACCACTAGAAGAACCATGGTTACAGATAGGTAACCTCCCTTTTTTGGAATCCAGTAAGAGTAAAGGTCTGTATTCTGGCTATTATGGACAAGCTATTGTGCTAATGCACACTTGCTGATTGTTCTTGCTAGTGGCAGGACATCTAAGTCAACCATGGGCGCGTTGTCTATGGTTTGTTTATAATGGCATCAGAAGCCATGGGTAAGCTGAGGAAAACAAAGGGGATTTTGCCTCATTCATTCCAAGTAGGCACCCAAAGGCAAGCAGTTTATTTTTTGTTAAGAAATGTGACTTTTGACAGAAACATTGTTCCCTTCTTCTACTGCAGTGACTTTGATGCTACTCTTTTTCTATTTTGTCTATCCTGTTTGAACAAAAGAGAAAAGTAGAGCTCTTATCCCAGATGATCATTTCTTCATTCTATTTCCCCCCTCAGTGTTGTACATTTGTAGTAGATGTGGGGAGTTGTTTCTGGCTTACAATTCCTGTCATCCTTAGCCAACATACACAGTGGCAAGAGATTACAGTGGGGTCTTGACTTAAGAACGGCTTGAGTTAAGAACATTTTGATTTAAGAACCGCTCTCATAGGAAAATATTGACTTGACTTAAGTACTTAGATTTGAGTTAAGAACTGAAAAAAATCCACGTGGGAGGCAGGGAAAGTGCAAAATGTGAACTTTCAGTTAACTGTTGGCCAGTGAAAAGGGTGCCTGTCTGCTTCCTCACTCCTCCCAGCGTTTAGAGAGTGGATTGGGAGTCTTCAGAGTGCCTGGTACTGTCCTCCCTGGACTGTATTTTCCCTGCCTTCCCTGAACCTTTCTTGACCTAAGAAAAAAAAGAAACAAAATATCCCCCTCTAGTGGTCGAAGGCGGAATAGCAGCTTCCCATTAGTTTCTATGGACGGAAAAGAGCAGATACGGATCAAATGGTTTTCAATGCATTCCTATGGGAAATGCAGATTTGACCTGAGAACATTTTGACTTGAGAACCACCTTCCAATATGGATTAAGTTCTCAAGTCAAGACCCCACTGTACAGAAGTAGCAATCCAAAGTCATCTAGAGCAGTGGTCCCCAACCTTGGGCCTCCAGATGTTCTTGGACTACAACTCCCAGAAGCTTTCACCACCAACTCTGCTGGCCAGGATTTCTGGGAGCTGAAGTCCAAGAACATCTGGAGGACCAAGGTTGGGGACCACTGATCTAGAGGACCACCTCTGTTCCATAGGAGAGCAAGAATAGTCTCTAGCTTTCATCCTGCTTGGGGACCTAGTGTTTTTTCTGTTCTGATTTCCTCTACAGGTTGAGAAAAAGAGACAGAAGGTTGAGTGAGATGTATGAATTTTTGTTCAGTATGTTTTGCTGAATATCAGCAGTTTCTTCCTGTAGAGTAGAAATTAATTAATGCATATGAATACTGTTCTTAAAATACTATGTTTTTTTTAAATTTCAGAAACTGCATGATAACAACAGCTCAGCCAGGCCTTTCCCAAGCAGCATTTCACCCTGTACATTAAATGTCCCTTATCGGACAAACAAAAGTGTGGACTCGAGTGATGAGAGCTTTTCTGATTCAGATGAAGAAAGTTGTCTCTGGAAGCGAAAGCGGCAGAAATGTTCTAACTTCTCCTCCCCTAAACCAGAGCCTTTCCAGTTTGGCCCAAATCCTCAAAAACAAGTGACTCAAGGGGGTAAAAAGATCAACAACATTTGGGGTGCAGTACTTCAGGAGCAGACTCAAGATGCAATGGCCTCAGAACTTGGGTTTCTTGGGATGGAAGGGACCATTGACAGAAGCCGGGCTTCAGAGACTTACAATTACTTGTTGGCAAAAAAGCTAATGAAAGAATCTGAACCAGAAGTGGCTGAAGCATTAGACAAACAGCTGGATGAATATATGCAGGATGACAAAAAGACATTAGCAAAAGATGAGGAGGAAAATGGACAAGGGCTTTTGAAACGGAAGCGGGCTGTTAAGGAAAGATTGGGTGAAAAGCAAGAAATGGATTATAAAGGGAGATACGAGATTACTGAAGATGATCCTGAGGAAAAAGTGGCAGACGAAATCGCCTACCGGTAAGCATGTGATCTTTTGCGTACAGGGACAGGTAACTTGTGGCGTTGCAGACTTCAGTGCCTTTCAGTTCAAATTAACATAGCTAATAGAATCATGAGAGTTGCTGTGCCAGCAACATCTGAAGGACCACAGGTCATCCTCTTCTTTTACTTAACAAAAGTTTATCTTTTGGCTCAGTCTTCAATAACTGCCACCTTGATGCAGAAAGAGCAAATTCTGAGTGATACATTTTAATTGTATTAGAGTATCTTTTTAGTGTAGGAGGTTGGCTTTTAGTGATAATTGGGCACTCTATTTAAATCTGTTACTTTGACTGACTAAATTTTAGTGACTAGCAACTAAAGTGAAAATTCTGAGTTGGGCTTTTTTTCTGACAAGAACAAGTTTCATGAAAATTCAGCCCTATAGTACATTGGCGCCCCGCTAGACGCCGACCTCGCTGAACAATGAAACCGCAGGACGATGACTTTTTAGCGATCGCAAAATGATGTTTCCTAGGGGGGATTTTCGCTTGACGTCAATTAGGTCCTTGCTTTGTAAACCGTTTGTTCGCAAAACAATGATTTTTCCAGATAGTTATAGTGGTGATGGGGGCAGCAGCTACTGGGCAGCGGTGGTAACTAAAAGTGACATCAACGGAGGAGGCCATGGTGGTAACACTCAAGCTAACTTTTGATAATATTGTGCAGAAGGCAGCAATGGTAAACCACTGGTGAGTTTTTCTTACCTCAAAACCTTTATGATGAGTCAGTCCAAAATGAAACGATAGTGCTGGAAGATGAAACTGCTAGGTTAGAAAGCACTCAGTTAGCTACTGGGAAAGAGCAAAGGACAAGTATAAATAGCACTGTCATTAATTATGCTCATAGAATCAGAAAAGTGAAGTTGGAAGGGGCCTATAAGGCCATCAAGTTCAACCCCCTGCTCAATGCAGGAATACAATCATAGCCTATCTGCGAGGTGATTATCTAAGTTTTTCTAGAATGCCTCCAGTGTTGGAGCACTCACCAACTCCCGAGATAACTGGTTCCATTTTCGTACTGCTGTAACAGTTAGGAAGTTTTTCCTGATACTCAACCGAAATCTAGCTTCCTTTAACTTGAGCCCATTGTTGCATGTCCTGCACTCTGGGATGATCGAGAACAATTCTAGCTCCTCCTCTGTATGACAACCTTTCAAATATTTGAAAAGTGCTATCATATCACCCCCCAGCCTTCTTTTCCCAAGGCTAAACATGCCAAATTCTTTCAGCCTTTCCTCATAAGGCTTGGTTTCCAGCCCCCTGATCATCCTTGTCACCATCCTCTGAACTTGTTCTCATTTGTAAGCATTCTTCTTGAAGTGTGGTATCCAGAACTAGACACAATACTCAAGGTGAGGCCTAGCCAGTGTTGACTAGCACCTCGCGGGATTTGGAAACTATACTTCTATTAAGTATAGCTCTATAAACAAATGCTAAAATAACATTTGCCTTTTTTGTAGCCACATTACACTGTTTGCTCATATTTGACTTGTGATCTACGACAATTCCAAGATCTTTCTTGCTCGTAGTTTTGCTGAGCCAGGTATCCTCCATCTTGTAACTGTGCAATCGGTTTCTTTTTCCGAGGAGCAGTACTTTACACTTATTCCCTGTTGAATTTCATTCTGTTGCTTTCAGCCCAGTGCTCTATCCTATCAAGGTCATTTTGAATTTTGTTTGTCTCCTAGGGCAGCAGTCCCCAACCTTTTTAACCCCGCAGACCGGTTGGGGAAGGCGGGGCACCCCCTGTGCTTGTGCACATGTGCGAAGGAACAGGAGGGCATTCAGGCACATGTGCTAAGTGGTGGGGAGTGCTCATGTGGGCACAGGTGCATGCACAAATGGGCTGTGCAGGCGGGGAGGAGATCTGTTTCCACAGCCTGGTCCGGCTCAGGCCACGGATTAGCACCGGGCCACGGAACAAAGGTTGGGGACCTCTGTTCTGGGGTATTAGCTATTCCAACCAATTTTGTATTATCTGCAAATTTGACAAGCATTCCCTGCACTCCCTCATCTAAGTCTTGAATAAAAATATTGAAGAGCACTGGGCCCAGGACTAAGCCTTGGGGTACCTCACTTGCTAGCTCCTCCCAGTTGGAGAAAGACCCATTAATCATCACCCTCTGAGTAAAATTTTGTAGTCAATTGGTTATCCACCTAACACTTGATCTATCCAGCCCACACCTAGTTAGCTTGCTAATCAGGAGATCACGGGGCTCTTTGTCAAAAGCTTTGCTGAAGTCAAGATATACTATGTCTACAGCATTCCCTCTATCAGGGAGGTGACCTGATCAAAAATGAGATCAAATTAGTTTGGGAGGATTTGTTCTTGACAAATCCGTGTTGGCTTCTAGTTATTTGTTGTTTTCTAGGTGCTTGCTCAATTACCTCTATACGATCTTTTCCTAAATTTTGCCTGGGATAGATGTCAGGCTGACTGGTCTGTAGTTCCTAGGTTCCTCTTTTTTGCCCTTTTAGAAGATAGGGATATTAGCCCTCCTCCAGTCCTCTGGCACCTCCCCTGTTTCCCATGATTTCAATAAAATAATGTATAGCAGTTCTGAGAGTTCTTCAGCCAGTTCCTTCAGTACTCTCGGATGCAGTTCATCCGGGCCTGGATGGTAAGGTATTCCTTGACTATTTGGTAAGGTATTCCTTGACTATTTGTTTATCAGTCTCCAGGTGCAATCCTGTCCGTCCCCCCTTGCACTTCCAATTTGTTTGGAAGTTAATAGTCTGAGAAAAGACTGAACTGAAATAGGAATTAACTCCCCCTGCCTTTCCTTTGTCATCTGTTAACATTTTTTCCATCTCCATTGTGGAGCTGTGCCACTATGTCTTTTGTTTATCTTTTGCTACTCACATACCTGAAGAATGCTTTTTTATTTCTTGTAGTGTTCCTACCTAATCTCAGCTCATTCTCAGCTTTTGCCCTCCTAATGACATCTTTGCATTTGTTTGCTACTTGTCTGTACTCATCCTTGGTGGCCTGGCCTTATTTCCACTTCCTGTACATTATTTCTTTCTTTCTTTCTTTCTTTCTTTCTTTCTTTCTTTCTTTCTTTCTTTCTTTCTTTCTTTCTTTCTTTCTTTCTTTCTTTCTTTCTTTCTTTCTTTCTTTCTTTCTTTCTTTCTTTCTTTCTTTCTTTCTTTCTTTATTTATTTATTTATTTATTTATTTAGGTTTTTAGGTCCTCCCTGAATTTTTTGTGAAGCCACACTGGCCTTTTTTTGCCACCTCCCACCTTTTTTCTCTTGTTGGAATTTTTTGGAGTTGTGCCTTTAGAATTTCTTCTTTTAGAAGCTCCCACCCTTCTTGGACTCCTGTTCTTGTTAGGATCTCCTGCCACAGGACCTTACTTATCCTTGTTGTGATATTATTAAAATTGTTTTTTTAAAAATCCAGCAGAAGTGTGTGGCTACACTCTGCTTTCGTTTGCTTTGAAATCAAGAATTCTAGAAGGACATGGTCACTCTCACCTAGGGTTCCCCTTACTGCCACTTCCCTCACTAAGTCATCTCTGTTGGTCGGGATCAAGTCAAGGATAGCAAATCCTCTAGTTTCTTTCTCCACTTTTGTAGAAGAAAATTATCAAGTACAGAATTAATTTGTTTCTTTCCAAAATTGGGCAATGACTGGGCATGACCACAACATGTAGATTAAAGACCTCCTCTGCTCAAAATGTCTCTAGCAATACATTCCTGCATGTTCAGCTATTAGAACCTGCATGATGACCAATTTGTGCACAAGATGATTTTCTGTTGGGTTGGTTGCAGTTGTAGGTTCTTCCCTGTATCTTTTAGAATTTAGTAGTTATGTTCTGTCAAGTCAGAAGCCATTTATTGTGATCCTAATAGGGCTTTCAGTGTAAGTGAGATATTTAAAGGGTACCGTAGTTTTCTCAGTTCCACTCCCCCAGTGAGTTTTCTTGGTGAAGTAGGAATTTGGACCCTGGTCTCTCGAGACCTAATCTCTCAGCCTATCCACTACACAATATTAGGTACCCCTTCTAGAATTTAGTAACCTTCAATATTCAGTGGAAAGGATGTAGATAATATTACAAACATCATATCAGTATTGAACAATATTATATTGCTGGAACAATTTCTAGACAGCAGTCTTAAATTCACATACCGTAGAAGTCTCATTGAAGTTATTAGCATTAGACTTTAGCTATATATGATTGTTGTTAGATATATTTTCACTTGGATCTGCTTTTAAAAAAATTGAGGAACATTACCAGCCTCTAAAATATCTTTAATATTTTTGCTCTGTGAAAGTAACTTCAGATCTGCCACCTCAAACTATTAACCCTGATAAGAACCATGTTTGCTTGAAAATAAGTTTCACTGTTTAATGGAGCTTTCCCACAGGTAAAGCTCTATTTACCTTTATTTAGTTAAAGCTGATTTAATCATGCTGCTGGTGCTGGATAAATGACAAGGAGTACTAATCTATTACCCACTGTGGTGTACTAGATACAGTGATGGTGTGGTGTCATGGACAGAGTGACAGACTAAGACTCAGGGGACCTAGATTCAAAACCCATCCAGCTATGGAAACTCACTTGTGGGGTGAAACTAGTAAAACCAGTTCTTAAATATCTGACATTGAAAGCTCTATTATGCTTTCTATAAAGCAAAGTATGCTGTTTATATACCACCACATAGTGTTTAAAGCTGTCTTTGGTTTACAGTTTAATTATGCAGGCTACACATATGCCGGTTCTGACTTAGTGGAGCAGAACTAACTGGTGTTAAACTGTAGGTAGATTTATCAAACTTTTTGTTATTGAAACAGGTGCAAAATAAAAGGTTTGACACTTTTAATAGAACGTTGTGTTTTCCTTTCAGACTTTGTGAACCAAAAAAGGAGCTTATTGCTCGGATAGTGAAAATCATTGGGAAAAAGAAATCTATAGAACTACTCATGGAAACTGCTGAAGTGGAACAAAATGGAGGCCTCTTCATAGTGGTAATGAAAAAACTGAACATGTGTTTTATTGAGTGAGTGAGTGAGTGAGTGAGTAAGTGAGTGAGTGAGTGAGTGAGTGAGTGAGTGAGTGAGTGAGTGAGTGAGTGAGTGAGTGAGTGAGTGAGTGAGTGAGTGAGTGAGTGAGTGAGTGAGTGAGTTAGTTAGTTAGTTAGTTAGTTAGTATACCGCTCCCATTAGTGCTGAAGCACTACTCTGGGTGGTTTACAATAAAATACACAATCAGAATAGAAAATATAATAAAAGCAGTGTAACAATCTAGCCAGATTGTTCGGATTATAACCTTGTACTCTCAAGGCTCGTCGTCGTTTATTCGTTTATTCGTGTCTGACTCTTCGTGACCCCATGGACCAGAGCATTCCAGGCCCTCCTATCTTCCACTGCCTCCCGGATTTGTGTCATATTCATTCTGGTAGCTTCGATGACTCTCAAGGCTAGAGGGAGATTAAACCCTCCCCCCAAGTTGCCTTCCTTGTCGTTTTATTGAATCATATGCAGTCGGACTCCCCTAGCTACTATTGGTCAGCCAGACACTGAGGGACCCTCTCCCTCCAGTCTTTCTAATTTGCCAAGCATCTTGACCCAGTAGAACAGATGTGACCTTACCTTCTTGATCCTGTTACCGTAACACTGTGGAGCATTCAAATTAATCCTGTGGTGTGTTAAACTGCATTAAACAAATCTAGCTGGTACTACAGCCGCTAAACCTCACCAGTTAAGTCATTCAGATATAGTTAGTTGGCCGCTATAGCACTCTGGCAAAATAATGTCAAATAATTTATGATGCTGCAGCTGCTGATTGAAAAAAATGTTGCTATCTATTTAGTGTAAAATGAATCCTGTTTTCCATAGTTCTTATTATTTTTATCCTTTTCCCTCACTTCCTTAAAAAGTAACAAAAGACCTGCAGCCTGCTAGCCAGCCCACCTGTCTGCCGGCTGGGAGGCTGTAGTTCTGGATGGAGGGTGCAAGAGGCGCTGTCTTGGGGAGAACCGGTGAGCAAGGCGTGCTGCTGGCCCTTTTCCCCAAGCACCTGAGCCGCTGTTGAGCGATGCCTTAGAGCGGAGCTCACTCCCAGCCCATCCTTGAAGAGTGCCTGCAAGCCGCCAAGAGCAGCTGCCACCGCCTCTTCCAGGGAAGCGACTCTCTAGCTCTCTTTCTCTCTCGGCATCCCCAGCACCAGCCCAGCCAGCGGCCGCCTCAGCACCCAGCTGTGCTTCCTACTACAGTGGGGTCTTGACTTGAGAACTTAATCCGCATTGGAAGGCGGTTCTCAAGTCAAAATGTTCTCAAGTCAAATCTGCATTTCCCATAGGAATGCATTGAAAACCATTTGATCCGTATCTGCTCTTTTCCGTCCATAGAAACTAATGGGAAGCTGCTATTCTGCCTACGCCCACTAGAGGGGGATATTTTGTTTCTTTTTTTCTTAGATCAAGAAAGGTTCAGGGAAGGCAGGGAAAATACAGTCCAGACAGTACAGTACCAGGCAGTGCGAAGATTGTCTCCCGATCCAGTCTCTAAACGCTGGGAGGAGTGGGGAAGCAGACAGGCACCCTTTTCACTGGCCAACAGTTAACTGAAAGTTCAAATATTGCACTTTCCCTGCCTCCCACGTGGTTTTTGTTAGTTCTTAACTCAAATCTAAGTATGTAAGTCAAGTCAATATTTTCCTATGAGAGTGGTTCTTAAGTCAAAATGTTCTTAACTCAAGCCGTTCTTAAGTCAAGACCCCACTGTACTACTCCTCATCCTGCTTCAGCCGCCTTGGCTTTGGAGGCTGCCTGGGTTCGCCTAGCAAATTTTGCTCCTCTGTCATGGTGGGGTTAGCTGCTGCTGCTGAGTGTGCCTTTTTTTGAGGGGGGCCCTCAGAGGAAAGTTGCCGGACCTCTGTGTTTGCGTGTGTGTGTGTGCGTGCATGCGCATTTGTGGGGGCCCACCCCGTTCTGTTTAATTTTGCGGGTACCGATGGGGGTTTTCTCCTTTGGCAAGGTGATCCTGTGAGGGTTTTTTTTTAAAATTATGTCGTCCGTCTCCCCCGCTAGGCGGTCGCTGGCGCTCCCTCCCTTCTCTGCTTCTTTGTCCTGCTGCTGGTGGTGGTAGTGAAGAAGGAGCCAGAGGGGGTCATGGGTGGCGACGAGGACTCACGCACTCCTCCTCCTCCTCAGAGCCCCAGCCAGGCCAAGGAAACTCCTGCGTGGCTTCCTCAGGCTCTTGCTCCGCTTGGTGGGAAATGTATATAGACACTTGTTACTACGTTTTATTATATATGTTATTTTATTCTGTTTTATTACTCATGTAAGCTGCCCCGAGTAGACTTTGTCTAGAGGGGCGGGATATGAGTTCAATAAAAGTAAAAAAGTAAAGTAATCTGATGAAGCCCACCCTTACCCAGACTCTGCCTCCAGCGGCCCCCAGGTAAATTGAGTTTGAGACCCCTGATGTACAGTATTTCTATTAGTGAAATATTAAGCTTTAGAGAGACCACATTAAGATCACAGAAGAGGGAGCCTGGCTGCTAAGGATTCCCCACAGACACTACCAGAAAGCCCTCCTGTAATGGCTATCCCACCATAGCATCAGTGCAACCAAAGGCAGAATATACAGTGGTGCCTCGCATTACGATGTTAATTCATTCCAGCGAAATCGCTGTAGAATGAAAACATCGTAAAGCAATTTTTAAAAGCCCATATAAACGCATTAAAACCTGATTAATGCATTCCTATGGGCTTGAAACTCACCATCCAGCAAAGATCTTCCATAGCACGGCCATTTTCGCTGCCCGTGCAGCGAGGAATCCGTCCCAGAAAACAGCGGGCAGCCTTTTTTTTCCCCGGTGGCCATTTTGAAACCGCTGGTCAGCTGTGCGAAAATCTTCATTTTGCAATAATCGGTTAGCGAAGCAGGTAACCGATCATTGCAAAGCGAAAAAACCCATAGGAAAGATAGTTTTGCGATCGCTTTTGCGATCGCAAAAACTTCTTCGTTATACGATTTATTCATTAAACGAAGCGCTCATCTTGTGAGGCACCACTGTATTGGAATTGGCAGGAGATCCATAGGATCCTAGGACCTTATTCCTTCACCCTCCCAAATGTCTAGCAGATAGTCCTCAAGCTGATATAGCTAATCAATTCCTCATTGCAGTTAGTGAGAGGGATTAAAAGCAACAACACCCCTACTGCTTCTCACCTTGGCAGTAGCAAATGAAATAATGGTTCCTGTATAATAGATTCCCCTTCACCCATCCATCTAAAAATTGTTTTTCACTTTTAGCTTCATAAATTATTATCTTTTATTATGTAGAATGGCACTAGAAGAAGAACACCAGGAGGAGTTTATTTAAACTTACTGAAGAATACACCAAGCATAACTGGAGAACAAATCAAGGTAAATCATGTCCACTGTATTCTCCATTATATAACATAGTTAAATTGTACCTGGACCATCTTGAAAGAGGTCATTTTCAAAGTCGAAGTTGTAAAAAATTTTACTTTTTCTATAATGAGAACACTTACTATTGTGTAGCAATTTTTACAAGAAGATAGGATTCCTGTTTTTTAAAGGAGACTTTTTTGTTCTTTGTCACACTCTTAGTTTTCATCCTCAGCTTAAAGGTTAACTAAGGTATTTGGTGGTTTCTGAAAGCGCAACTTTACCTATTATTCCTTAACATTTCATGGGCTATTAAAATTCTCTTTGAAGGACATTTTCTATATTGAAAACCAAAAGGAGTACGAGAACAAAAAGGCTGCAAAGAAAAGAAGAATTCAAGTTCTGGGAAAGAAGATGAAGAAAGCTATTAAAGGGCTCAACCTACAAGAATATGATGATGCTTCCCGAGAGACTTTTGCTAGTGATACAAATGAAGCACTAGCTTCTCTGGATGACTTGCAGGAAGGACATGGTGAAATGAAATTGGATCCAGAGGATGCTATTGAAATAGATAACACTCATGATTTAGACATCTTTTAATGTACTGCATGTGTGAGAGACCATAGTTTTTCTGAAAAATGTTCAATTGCAGTTTTTTATATTATTTTTCTTTACATTAGATGCAGTAGTACATACTGAAATCCAGTAATAAGTTGCAACTAGAGTAGGGCTATTGGATCAGTGGGGATTTGTGAGTCAACACCTATGTACATTCCACTGACTAAATGGGTATACTTTAGTTACAGCTCACCACCGGATTTTAGTAACTGTGCCAGTTGTATGCTGAACAAGGCATTTGTTTTTCTCATTTAATGTTAATGTGTGGCTTATCAGCTTATTTGAGATCATGAATGTTTTTAGATCTCTCTCCTTTGTTAAATAACTTACATGTATCTTTACTTGGTTACTCATCAGTTACTCACCTCAGAATTAGTTCTTGGTAAGAACAAAACTGAATGTATATATACTGAATATATACATTCTCTGGAATGTTCTCATTCCAGAGTAATGTTCCTGTGTGAGGCCTACTGTAAGTGCATGGGAATATTTCTTAATTTAACCAAAGTCAATATATAATGAAAAGTTTAGGAACACAACATTGGACCACGGGTGAAATACAATATTCCGTCTGCTTGTAAATTAATTTTAAAACTGTCTTTGAATAGTATTGTAAGATTAGAAGAGAATATAATGTAGTGGTATTGAATGTTCTTTATTTGGATGCCCATCACTGTAAAAATAGAATATTATTTCTAAAGGATTTTAAGGCATCTTCAGATTTATTTCCTGTTTCAATGATGATTTAACAATCTCAGAGTAGGATTTTGCTTATGACTATGAAGCGCAGCTACTCTGCATTACAGATCTATACAGTTCTAACCTTGCCTTTTGATGGTGAATTATTAGTTCTAAACAGCAGCTTTCATAAATATCTGCCATGACTTAATAAAAACAGAACCTTTGTACCACTTTTCCAATCATCTACTACTCATTTCTGGGTTTTGTGTCAATTCTGTAGTATTGCATTGAATTACAGGAACATTCCTCAAATCATTTGTATTTAAGCACTGTGACATGGATCCAGACTTAATTATATTTTGACTAGGTCCACTGAACCACAAGGCAGTTCATGATTAACTTGTCTTGTGTTGATTTCAGTGGGTCATCTTACAACATGGCAAACTCTAGATCTAGCTTGGTACAGATATCCTGTCCCAGTGGGCAGGAACTTGCTTGTACATTGCCCTGTCTAAATCTAAGTCTTCTTTGTTTCATTGCCTTTAGGAAAACGTTCTGGGTTTCATAGATAAAATTGATTAAATATGTTAAGTTATGCAAAGAGCTATGGTGTGGCTATCTCATTTGGTAAATTTTCCAGTTTCTATTTCCATAAAACTTGTGTGTTTATTCATGTTGATCTCTAAACAGCAAAAGAACGGTTGAGGCTTAATTTGCGCATCTGTGGCTGGTTCATGGAATATGTAATCTGACACATATCACTTATATTAGTTTTCACTAACATGGGCCTCTAGATGTTGCTGGGCTCCAGCTTAGAGTCCCTAATCACTAACTATGTGGGCTGGAACTGCTGAGAGTTCACAATCTAAACACCTGGTGTGATTCTCCTATGAAAAGCCATTGACGCTACAGTGCATTGATTCTAAATATGTTTTATGAGTTGGATGTAGCAACAACAAGCATGCCAGCATGCAGTTTGAAGCTAGAAATCAAACCAGTTTGAAGCTACAGATCAAATAGCTGCTATTGTTCCTTTTGGTTAAGCAAGGCAACGTGGTATTGTTGAAGATATCTTCACGTGCTCCTGACTTATGGGGGATTCTCTGTAGATATGATAGCGTTTTTTTTTATTAAGTGATTAAATGTTCCAAATGTGGACAGAGTCACTTCTGTTACCAAATGATAATGATATGGTAGATAAGCTACATTCTCCTATGTATTCAATTTATTTTAAAGATCATTATTACATATAGTGACAGTTGATAAGCTTTTGGCAGTTATTTTGCTAAGACTGTTTTCTATTTACTGAGACATGCTTGTCCTAAGAGCCTACAATCCTCAGTTAGAAGGAGGTCCTAGTGAAAGAAGCAGGATTGCTACACATACCTGTATAAGTGTACAGTGGGGTCTCTACTTAAGAACGCCCCTACTTAAGAACAATCCAACTTAAGAACAGCTCCATTGGCTAAATTTTGCTTCTACTTGAGAACAGAAATCCAAGATAAGAACAGGAAAAAAAACCTTTCCTGCTCTTTTTTTAACCTTAGGTCATCTTAGGTTAAAAAAAATTCTCCCCCTAGTGGTAGAGTACGTATTAACCAGCTTTGCATTAGTTCCTATGGGAACTATTGCTTCAATGTATGAACGCACCTCTACATAACAACAACAACAACAAAAAAAAAACAGCCAGAACGGATTAATTGGTTTTCAGTCCATTCCTATGGGAAATTTTGCTTCAACTTAAGAACATTTCAACTTAAGAACACCATTCCAAAACGGATTAAGTTCTTAAGTAGAGGTTCCACTGTAGTTTCTATGGACGGAAAAGAGCAGATACGGATTAAATGGTTTTCAATGCATTCCTATGGGAAATGCAGATTGAGCATAAGAACTTTTCAACTTGAGAACCACCTTCCAATACGGATTAAGTTCTTAAGTCGAGACCCCACTGTAAGTGATTACAGGAGAAATTATTTAATGTTGATAGATTAGTGTTGGGGGGGATTAGGATGCTTGTCCCCACATGCTAAATAGGCATGTGCTGGGTGCAGCCCATCTAATAATTATGTTGTGGATATTCTTTTTCTTTATATTCACATTAAGGCCATTTACCACCCTACATAATATGTCTTTAGCTGCTGAATATCTTTCTTTTCCTTCTGGTTTTGAAATCCCTTGTAACTGGTAAATCTAAACAATACAGCTGGCAACAAAACGTATCCTGAATTCTTCCACCTCATTAGCTTGACTGCATTAAATTGAAAGAAGTAATGAAAAGTTATGATGGCTAGCAGTACATTTTCCTGGACCATAATAGTAGATGTGTTAGTGGAATTGGATACATTTTCATCTGCAGAGTACAAAAATAAAGATTGATGGTTTTTAAAACTGTTTACTGAATTTCTTTGTATGTTTTCAAAGAATTAGCAGACACACTGTGAGTGGTTCCCCCAACCACCACCTCCCGCTGGTGGTCCATAGGTGTGGTAATCCTTGTGGGGAGCTCACCCAAACTCCTTGTGGACTCGGCTGGCATCTCCTGTCTAGCGGGGCGAAGAGCAGGGAATGGCAGCAGGTGGAGCCTCTCTGGGCTCTGTGGGAGGATGGTCACAAGGCCTCTCCAGCACAGCTGCTTGCCCCTGGTGGCTCTTTGCCCAGCCAAAAAGGAAAAAAGGCTTCTTTTTCAACATGGCAATACGTATTATAGGTGTGCGTGACTACTTGGCACATGAATACGGCGAGGCGCTGTCACAAACATGACATGGGGAGAGAGCACTAATGTTTCAATGCTATGTCAAAAAACCATTTGATCACTTAACTGCCTTTGGCAAAGTTTTATTTTCCTTAGCTTCTTCCTTTGCAGTCCTTTTGTTATGACAAGGTATACTCTGAAACCTAACAGTAAAAAAATCCCTTTGCGCTTACAAAAGAACCCTGCTGCCTTGGAGTCCTTTAATCCTCCTTTAAACTATTGTTCTGATGTTTGAAAGGGGAGGAGGGAGTTAAGTAGGTGATGGCCAGAAGCCTCTGCATCTGAGACTGATCAATATTGCCTGTGCCACTTGCTCATGTTTCGCACATTTTTTTTAATCTTCCATTATATAGCTGTTGTTTTATTCCTCAGGAGTGAGCCCTTCAGGAAAGAAATACTGTACCTTTTATGTCACTTGGTATAGTGAGCAGTATAGAAGGCTCTGGTATAAGATGTGAGATCAGTAGCCACTACCAGTATTGCTATAACAGATTTAGGCTGCAGATTTAAAAACTGTTTCCAACCAGAGTAATATGAATTGAGCAACATTGAGGAGCTGCACTGGAGTCTCATTTTTCCTTTCAATCCATTCAGCTGCCTTGGAGCTGTACTCTGCTGCTAAATCTACCACAAATTCACATTTTTCCTACTTTTTCTCAGGTGTGGGAGGATTATGCTTTGTATTTAAGAAGATATCTTTCTAGGCATATACACATCCAGGATCTATAATCCTCTATAAAAACTAGGGTGCACAATTCTCAACAGTCTCATTTATGAAAGTTTTTTTTTTTAATCCTAATTTTGTGGCTGCCTCTGGATTGGTTTTAGTATTGGCTGCAAAAATTCCTAGTTTTTTGTGTACATTAATAAGATGTAGGAGGGCTGCTCACTCTTAGAAGCATAAAAAAGTGAAGTTGGAAGGGGCCACTCACTCTTAGAAGCATAGAAAAGTGAAGTTGGAAGGGGCCTACAAAGCCATCAAGTCCAACCCCTTCTCAACACAGGAATACAATCAAAGCATATCTGCCAGGTGATTTAAGCTTTTCTAGAATGCCTCCATGTTGGAGCACTCGCCAACTCCCGAAGTAACTGGTTCCATTGTCATACTGCTCTAACAGGAAAATTTTCCTGATATTCAGTCAAAATCTGGCTTTCTTTAAGTTGATCCCATTGCTGTGTGTCTTGCAGTCTGGGATGATCAAGAACAGATTTTGCCCCTCTGTATGACAACCTTTCAAATATTTGAAAAGTGCTATCATATCACCCCTCAGTCTTCTTTTCTCAAGGCTAAACATGCCCAATTCTTTTAGCCTTTCCTCATAAGGCTTGGTTTCCAGCCCTCTGATCATCC